ACCAACCACATACGCTCTAAAATAAAAGATAATAGTCTTAGGAAGCCATTTTTAGCATTTTAAGACACTTTTTGAACAGTTCAAAAAGTCGTCAAAATTGACCAAATTGTTAAGGGGTAAGCCTTACCTTTTTAGTCAATTTTGACCAATTTTTCATTGTTCCAAAAACCAACCAAATCCGCTCTAAAATGAAAGATAATAATGTCAGGAAGTCATTTTTAGCATTTTAAGACAGTTTTTGAACAGTTCAAAAAGTCGTCAAAATTGACCAAAATGGTAAGGGGTAAGCCTTACCTTTTTAGTCAATTTTGGCGATTTTTTTAATGTTCCAATAACCAACCAAATCCGCTCTAAAATGAAAGATAATAGTCTTAGGAAGCCATTTTTAGCATTTTAAGACAGTTTTTGAACAACTCAAAAAGTCGTCAAAATTGACCAAAATGTTAAGAAGTAAGCCTTACCTTTTTAGTTAATTTTTGATCAATTTTTCATTGTTCCAAAGACCAACCAAATCCGCTCTAAAATGAAAGATAATAGTCTTAAGAAGCCATTTTTAGCATTTTAAGACAGTTTTTGAAAAGTTGAAAAAGTCGTCAAAATGGACCAAAATGGTAAGGGGTAAGCCTTACCATTTTTGTCAATTTTGACGACTTTTTCAACTTTTCAAAAACTATCTCAAAATACTCTAAAATGAAAGATATTAGCCTCAGGAAGCCATTTTTAACATTTTAAGACAGTTTTTGAAAAGTTCAAAAAGTCGTCAAAATTGACCAAAATGGTAAGGGGTAAGCCTTACCATTTTGGTCAATTTTGACGACTTTTTCAACTTTTCAAAAAATGTCTCAAAATGCTCTAAAATGAAAGATATTAGTCTTAGGAAGCCATTTTTAGCATTTTCAGACCGTTTTTGAACAGTTCAAAAAGTCGTCAAAATTGACCAAAATGGTAAGGGGTAAGCCTTACCTTTTTAGTCAATTTTGACGATTTTCTCATTGTTCCAAAAACCAACCAAATCCGCTCTAAAATGAAAGATAATAGTCTTAGGAAGCCATTTTTAGCATTTCAAGACACTTTTTGAACAGTTCAAAAAGTCATCAAAATTGACCAAAATGTTAAGGGGTAAGCCTTACCTTCTTAGTCAATTTTGACCAATTTTTAATTGTTCCAAAAACCAACCAAATGCGCTCTAAAATGAAAGATAATAGTCTTAGGAAGCCATTTTTAGCATTTTCAGACAGTTTTTGAACAGTTCAAAAAGTCGTCAAAATTGACCAAAATGGTAAGGGGTAAGTAAGCGTTATCTTTTTAATCAAATTTGACGATTTTTTCAATGTTCCAAAAACCAACCAAATCCACTGTAAAATGAAAGATAATAGTCTTAGGAAGCAATTTTTAGCATTTTAAAACAATTTTTGAACAGTTCAAAAAGTCGTCAAAATTGACCAAAATGTTAAGGGGTAAGCCTTACCTTTTTAGTCAATTTTGACCAATTTTTCAATGTTCCAAAAACCAACCAAATACGCTATAAAATGATAATAGTCTTAAGAAGCCATTTTTTGCATTTTAAGACAGTTTTTGAACAGTTCAAAATGTCGTCAAAATTGACCATAATGGTAAGGGGTAAGACTTACCATTTTGGTGAATTTTGACGACTATTTCAATGTTCCAAAAACTAACCAAATACGCTCTAAAATGTAAGATAATAGTCTTAGGAAGCCATTTTTAGCATTTTAAACAGTTTTTGAACAGTTCAAAAAGTGGTCAAAATTGACCAAAATGGTAAGGCTTACCCCTTACCATTTTGGTCAATTTTGACGACTTTTTGAATTGTTCAAAAACTGTCTTAAAATGCTAAAAATGGCTTCCTAAGACTAATATCTTTCATTCTAGACATATTTGGTTGGTTCTAGGAACATTGAAAAATCGTCAAAATTGACCAAAATGGTAAGGCTTACCTCTTACCATTTTTTTGCAAAATTGACGACTTTTCAATATTTCCTAAACTGTGTTAATATGTCAAAAATGGCTTCCGAAAACTAATGTGCTTGAGTTTTTTATCATATTTGGTTGGGTTTTGGAACATTGAAATAGTCTTCGATTTTGACCAAAATAGTAAGACTGTCCAAAACGTTAATTTTGCCGAATATTGAGACTTTTCAATATTTTGAAAAAGACGTCTCTCAATCTGAAGACAAACGTTTCAACTCCAGGGAATGCAAAAAAATTAGCCTGAAAAATTTTGGTGTGATTTAGAAGCTTTAAAACAGTTAAAAGACTCCTCGGCCTTTGCTAAAGACTGTAAATTGAAAAAAGTTTGAAATAGAAAAACTGAAACAAAATTAAAAAGTTTCGAGAAAATCACCTTAATACCTTGTTGGCAGGATCTCAAATGAAATACTAATTTAAATGAGTTCACTTTGATGTTTATGATTTATTTTCGCGTCTAAAATGCAAACAACTGTATCTTATTCGTAACTTGTACCTTGACATGACGTTAAAATATCACATACAGATATGCAGTGCCTTAAAGCACTTCTTTCCCAGTAAGTTAGTCACAGTAAAGTACAAGAATTAACAATGTATTTCAATGTGCATAACGCGTATAGTCAGCGAGGCAACAAGCATGCACCTCAGTCGTACGCTCTCATCTGAAATCGCAATTGAAGCAAATATTCAGTTAAACAGACATTGAATATCTATTTCAAGACTTTGTTGTATCAAGAGTCGAAATTCTTGCTGGTCTTGCCGGTTCGTCGTCATCGTCGAATATAAAATACGCTAAGAAAAATGAAATTCAATTATAAAGCGCAATTTCTGTTAACCGCGGTAACAAACAAACAGCAGCTCAAGAATATTACGGCAACGATCCATAATTATTTCATTTAAAAGTTCTTCGAAGAAAGGATTAATTCAAACAAAAAACAATAGCTTATCGACAAACGATGTGGTCGTCAAGTAGTTGTTAAGCCGTTGGTCTCTTTAGTCCAAAGGTTCAAGTATTAGATTTAATTTAGCGTATTTTATATTCGACGAGCCGAATACGATAAAAGTTTTGAAATAAATAGTCAATGTCTGTTTAACTGGATATTTGCTTCATTTGTGATTTCAGATGTAATGCTTGTTGAAAAATAAATCATGAACATTAAAGTGAACTCATTTAAATCGTTATTTCAATTGAGATCCTACTAAAAAGGTATTAAGTAATATAAAACTTCCAAAAAGGATTAAGTAAAATAAAAACTGTAGGCTTTTACCACAAGAACTGATGGTGTAGTGCATGGTGAAGACGATGATCTGCCAAGTATACAGTCGATGGTTCAAGCCCTGGATAAACCGAAAAAGAACAAGGTAATAAAATGAGAATTTGTGAGTGTTAGAGGAGTAGAGCGAGAGGGCGAATATGCCCTCGCCTTGGGCGAGGAGTGGACTGAAGGCTAGTTTCCACTCAGGAAAATTCTGCTTCGGATCGGAACGGACAGGAAAATTTTCTTTATCGGTGAGTTCTCAGGCGGCGCGGTTTACACAAAGGAAACTTTCCTATCCTGTACGATCCAAAGGAGATTTTTCCTGAGTGGAAACTAGCCTTGAGGGGGGTTGCCTTTCCCCCGTCTTCCCTGACTTTCAAAGCAAACTTTCGTCAAACATTCAAGTGTTCAAGTGTATCAGGGGATAGTTAGGGATATCTGAGGATAGGAAAAAGTAGGGATAGATAGGAGTAAATAGGAGGATAAATAGGGGTAAAGAGGTTTAAATGAGTACAAAAATACTTGAACGTTTTATATACTGTTTTCGCACCTATACCCAGTCTGTTTGTACACATATACCCTTATTTATTCTACCTATCCCCTGATTTCCCTAAAGATTAATTTTAATTTCCAAAGATTAACGGAGTATAAACCTCCCCCGAGCAACATACCTACCTCTTTTCTTTTTTACCGCCATGAGAAACGTACCATCCTGTTCTTGATACCTCGATCTTGTACTTGATAGTCAACGACTTTACCACAAAGCTAACGGGTGATTGTTGGAAGCCTACACCAAATTATTCTCCATAAGTCATAACCTTACCATGTAATATTAATAACGAAAATTTCCATCTAAAACGAGATTCGAACCTTCGACTTTCGAGACATGAGACCAACATCTTGACCACGAGAGTACAAGATCTTGTGCCGAACGATTGTGGTCATTTAATTTACTTTCTCCTTTTCACGAAGTTCATAATGAAAAACGGTTATGGTAGGTTTCGAGCCACCAATTTGCCACTTGGAAGACCATTGTCTCCGCCACCTGACTCCAAGAACTTCTGCTGAACGGCTATGGTTATTCAATTTACTTTATCCTTTTCATAAAGTTCATAATTTGAAACGGTTATGGTAGGATTCGAACAATCGATTTACAACTTGGGATACGCTTGTTTTCGCTACTAGACTAAAAGATTTTGTGCTGAACGGCTATGGTTATTTAATTTACTTTATCCTTTTCATGAAGTTCATAATGAAAAACGGTTATAGTAGCATTCGAACCCCCAGCTTGGAACCCAAATATGCTAAAAATCAAAGAGATACTAGTCTTAGAAAACATTTAAAGTCATTTTCAGCATGTTAACGAAGTTTTAGAAAATTTTGAAAAATCGTCAGTTTTACTTTTGGCCAAAATAGTAAGGGGGTACCCATTATATTGATCGACTAAACGGCTTTTCAAAAAAGATTATTCTTTACAACTTTTATATGGTATAAATCGCCATTTATTTGACATTTTTTCATCAACTTCAAAAAACTGTCCGTGGAGAAATTAGGTAACTCTTAGCAAGAAATGCATTTTTGCGCCTGCAGTAGCAACCTTTTGAGTTTTGACATCAGTACCCACTGATATATTTAAAAGTAACGAATCGGCATATTTGTTTATATTTTTTACGCAAAGCCAATCAGAATGCCTAAATTTTTAATACTTCATGTAAAATGGTAAATAATGTACCTTTTTACCGGAAGTAGTAAAAATTTATGCATTCTGATTGGGTAACTGAAAAATTAAAAACAAACTTGCTGATTGGTCTAAATAAAACGCCTCTTTTTTAGGCCAATGCTTATGTTTGCATTTTGGGACAGGCTTGAGTGGAAACTGGACAGCATAACAAAGGTGAAAAACGTCTTTGGCCAATCAGCGCTTTTGTTGACATTTTTATTATTAACCAATCAGACTCTTTGTTTTTACGCTACCTCCGGTGGCACACAAGAAATTTACTAACAGTATAGTATGTTGAATAAAGCCTTCGGGGGGACAGGATTTTGAACTTTTTAGATTAAATACAACGGAATATGAAAAAATATTCATTTATCTAAAAATCTGTCGGCCAGATTTTCGCTGTCGGCCGGATTTTTGCGTACGTCGTTGTTTAAATGTCGATAGCATTAATACTAGACCTTAAAGCAAAAATCTGGCCGACAGAATTTTAGATAAATGAATATTTTTTCATATTCCGTTGTATTTAATCTAAAAAGTTCAAAATCCTGTCCCCCCGAAGGCTTTATTCAACATACTATACTGTTAGTAAATTTCTTGTGTGCCACCGGAGGTAGCGTAAAATCAGAGAGTCTGATTGGTTAATAATAAAAATGTCAACAAAAGCGCTGATTGGCCAAAGACGTTTTTCACCTTTGTTGGACAGCATATGTATGTACACAGTTACTATATATTTAATTTAGCGTAAAATATTTATCCTGTATCATCTGCTATTTGTCCTGGTTAATTTGCCCAGGTAAAATGTTAGATTTCGGGTTGGATATGGACAGGAAAATTCACTGTTGTTGGACGTTGTATCGAATGAGTCTTGCACCAGAGCCATGTCCTGAAAAGAATTAAGGCTTAGAGTTGACCGCGCGCATACAACTGCCGTATGAAAGTGAAAAAGGCTGAGGTTTAGTTCCAATATAACCAAGGAGCAGCGTGGCAGCGTCTTCAAACAACTTAGCATCAAATGTGGTATAACAACTGCCTAAATAGACACTTTTGTCTATTTAGGCAGTTGTTATACCACATTTGATGCTATAAGGTTTAGTTCCCCTGGGGCCGGTTGTTCGAAAGGCGTTTAGCTTAAACGGTGGATAAGCCAAATTTTGAAAATACTCTCATATATCTTGTGAATGATTTTACCTGCATCTTATTCACAAGTATATCTACTTTCATTGAAAATTAAATATTTACATCGAAATATTTAAGCTCAGTTGTTCAATAAATGGATAATTTTGTTTTCCATTTTGAACTTATCCACCGTTTAAGCTAAACGCCTTTCGAACAACCCGCCCCTGTTCTTTAATTTTTTTTATTTATAAGCAGAAATATGTAAGTACGTCATTGTCCTCGAAACGTACAAACCTGATTGTTTGAGATAAAATCCAGCAAACGGAGGGAAAGCCGTCGACTTGAGTTAACTAACTTCTGTAAACTGTCGGAAAATAGAAATGTTGTTAATCGCAGTTATACTTTCACTTATGGACCGACCTTTAATTATTGTAGACATGCAATATGTATTGATGGCATGAAAATATTTCTATATGCACAAACCCCTATTACCCCTGGAAATAGCGTGATCTGCAGCGAATTAGAACATATAATTAAGTGTTTTTAGCGCATATGAATACTCACTTGTCTTTATGAAATAATTTCTCTTTAGATATCTAAATGTATATTAGAACATCGTTTAAAAGCGAGACAGAATTGATACTACACACTGATCTGATATTACACTGGAATAACTATCGCTATATCGTTTCACATACTTTTAAACTAATTTCTTGATTTAACTTTGCATCAAATAACGGCAGCCCAAAATGCATATCGAGTAGGCACCAGTCTTCGAAATTCTTTACACGGTCACCGTTCTTTACCACCTGCGTCTCATCGCAATGCTCGCTCTCCTCAGTCCCCGAGACAAGCCCGGTTTCATTATCCTGGCCGTTGAGTTGCATCAGGTCCTCGGAACGAGAATCGCCAACGAATTTAAACATGCTTGCGTTGTCCTCGACGTCTGTCTCGGTACGTGATGTAAGGTGCGGATTTAGCAAAGTGATGTACCCGCACGTGTTTTGCATGTCTATAGAACGTGACAGGGCCTGAACAGCTGGATGGTCGATGAGATCGTGCCCCGGAAGGTCGCCTAAAAGTGCAAAAGTTTCTCAAAGATTTATTAAAAAACACGAAGACACTGCACCTATTGTTGCTTTATCACACTTTGTAGGTTCTTTTAGACGGAGGTAGGAGGAGGGGGGGGGTTGGAAAGGGATGAGGGACGACTTCTATTATATAACTGTCACATAAACCACAATACAGAACTTAATAAAAAAACATGGGAACTGCATCGCAATGTAAAAAGTTGAATGGTAGATAGGTATTTAGTATTTTGAACAAATGCAATAATGAATTATGATATGCGACTTCTTACTTTCATTGTTTTCGTCATTTGTTTGAAAGGGAAATGATATTCGATGTATTTTCCCTTCACGATGCATACCATAACCCTGAAGAAAAGAAAGGAACGAAAATTTACCCAACAGAACCCGCCGACAATCCATGACCAACGATGATTCCACAATTATATCGAAATTCTTGCTCTGGACCGCGAGAGGTATGGCACCGAAGTAAGATTATCTATATAATATCGCTCCAGTTACCTGTATGAGAACAGCGGAATGTGTAAGAGCATCATTGAGAGCTACGAGCACGTTTGAGACAGGAACTGCTGTAGGATCATGACCCCACGTCGCTATCAACAGTCTATCAAACCCCTGCATGAAATATACATAATATGTGTGAGGTTTTTAATTAGATGGCGTAAGCAACAGCACCGAGTTTGGCGCGAAAATGACGAATCTTGCACTCGTAATCGTACTCCTAATCACTGCTAAAGCTCTCTATTGTTGAATTAATGAATATTGTGATGATGCTACTCTGAGTCACCAACCGGGTAAACTGAACAATTAGCTTGACCATGGTGTTCATATATACACTTGAGTCTTATGCGCTATTACTCTCTAATTGTAGTTATATGTAGGTCTGGTTGGCCCATTGGTGTATATTTGCCATAAATCTGTCTTGTTTTCAGTCAGACGGCAAAGATGCCACTAAGAACCTTACCTCGAATATTTTGGGAAGTCTTCTTAGCCGTGATCCTTTTACAATTAACATCGATGGAGGTCCGGAACCGGTAGTTTCATATAGAAATAATTTGAACCAAACTGAATTGACCTACAACCAAACAATGGAACGACCTGGCTCAAAATGACGGCCGGAAACCCCCCCCCCCCCGGTGTATAAACCAGGTTCCCTTGAGTTTTGATGGAATTGCCGCGAGCATGCAGGAAAGGGGTAAGTATACCTCTGGTATTGCCGGTCCAATATGAGGTGGATCACAGCTAACAATTGGTCGTATTTCACTGCTCAACGGAGCCATGGATAGCAGAACACTAAAAATACATTAAAACTCTTTGTTACGAGTGTTTTGTGTCGAGTGTTTTTTGTGGCAGTATAGACTATAGTAGTGGTTTTTGCCCGAAATGTTTGGCATGGTAGTAGTAACGTTTTATTACCTACACTGAATAGTTAGCAAGCTTAAATATTGTGTAGTTGACCAAACTTTAAAAGTTCTTTGTGAAATATTTCATTACTTATCTCTTATGAAATTCTACATTATTTATCAACAACATATTAAGCCCGTTTTCCACAAGGCGAATATATTCTCGGATAACAGATAAAAAGTAGGAAGCGATTCTACCTTTTCGCAGTAGTATTTATATTTAGTATTTATAAGCACAGATCTTTGCACTTTGACGAATAAGTTTCCTCGAAATATAAATAAAAATCATTGAATTCACGAGATGTTAAAAAATTACCTGTAATTCTTCTGAAGAACCCGACTGCAAGCTGCTGCGTCCAAACTGTTTAAACTTTCACACCGCAGCATATCTGTCGTGGATGAAGAATACAGTAAGAACACTCTCGTTGAAATAGCAAAAGTAATTTGTACTGATTACTAGATATCGTCAACCATTACGACATACAAAATGTACTGTTAGAATGCAAGTAACTCCTCTTTCCTGCTAACATACGAATTGAAGGGTAAGACTCAACGCATAAAGATTTTTGACATGTTAAAGTTCGATTTTGGAGATTTTTCTTCGAGACAACGTGTGTCTCGTGCTTTACGGTCACGTCATCTCAAAAATCATTTTCGCTCATGGCACTGGATTGTTCCAGGTCACCAAAACGGATTTATATACACAGTTGTATTAGTTAACAAAGCAAAGTAACCTATTCTGATGAATTTACTCAATAGCATACACCAGGAGAAAAAAACGCCGTAAAAAATCGCCCAGTTTACTCAAAAGGGAGCTTTAGCAGTGGCACTTTTTTGACTTTTAACTGATATGAATTATTAAATTTATTTTCAAATGAATTTTCATCTCTGCAATAGACCTTTCTTATAATGACGTCAAACGTGGAAAGTCTGATGTTACATAAAATATAATTGGCTCCACAAAACTATCGAGCCAATGAAACTTCGCGTAACATCAGACTTTCCGCGTTTGACGTCATCATGAAAAAGGTCTATTGCCAAACCATAAGTGAAACAGGTCACACAGCAGAGGTCATAAAAACAATGACGTAATGACAAATGACGAATATCACGCAATAAACACTTATAAATTTGACCGGTCATAGAAACATTTAGTAATTCGTGACTGGCCTCTATTTTGAGATGTGTGTAAATTGTGAGGAACAATCAAGTGTCAACAACATACCAAGTCCCATCGGCGGCAATGTCTCATCATTCTTGAATAATTCTCTATTATGTCGTAAGAAGATTAATGTATTGCGTAGTGTGATAGCGTGGTGAAAATATCTCTCTGCTTCGCCTTCGGCTTCGTCCTCGGCTTCACGACCCACCTGGAAAAGAGTAAATTTCGGTAGTTTGATAAGGGGAATATCTACTGGCGTACACGGGGTGCCCCCCCCCCCAACTGGCGTAAACGAGGTGGCCTCCCCAACTGGCGTACACGGGGTGGCCCCCGAACTGGCGTACATGGAGTGCCCCCCCCCAACTGGCGTACATGTGGTGCCTCCTCCCCCAACAAGGAGAAAGGAGGTTTGTCAGGGGTTAGGTTAAATCGAATTCGGGAAAGTTCTCACCACACTCTCTCACAAAAAAATTGTCTGAATTCTTAGAAGGAAAATGATCTTACCTTTTCAAGTTCTAACATCAGACTGTCTAGAGATTCATCGCTTAGTTTCCCAACTTCAAACATGGTCACAGCATGGTTCTTCAGACCCTAAAGAAAACAATCGACGTTTCTCATCACTTTTTTCACGGTCCAGCATAATGGCCGTTCCCTTACGGTCAGATCGGCAAACGGCCTGTTCCATCATCCTGCTCAGCCGAGATTCGACGAAACGTGAAATGACTTTGAGGTATTGAAATTAGTATAATAACACGATCCTGGCAGTGGCGTAGTCATTCCTACAATACCTTGCCGTTGCTTGGTTTTATAAAGATTTTCATTAAGACAAAATCATCTCATGTTTCGTTGAATCTCGAGTAACCGGTCTCGTTTAAACAACCCTTAAATGAGATACCAAAATCTTGGCGGCAAACAAGGTCGATAGAAACGCAAAAGATGGACAATTTGTGTGAAGATTTTTGATGAAATTATGAAAACTTACCGGAGAAAGGTTTCCCATCATGAGAAACGCCGTTAAAGCAGAGTCAAATAAAAATGCTATCCTCTTTCCAGGACCATTTATCATATCTAGGAAAAAATACATGACAAGTATATTTCAGGCTTTGGTTGATTTGAGACGACCTCAATTCAGTTTATCACACTTGACTTTGGTTCAGTTGAAAACATGATTCCAGTTATAAAATATATTATATATACATCAGTGACCAAACCAACCTAGGGTAGGTGAAATGGATTGCCCAGGAGAGGTCTCACCATCCATGCCGTTACTCACAGATGATGTTTCGGACGATGTTCCTGTGCCGTTTATATCAACCAGTAAATTCTCGCGACTGTTTGACCTAAAGATTACATAGAATCATGAAAATTTCTCGCGCAAATGTTGACAAGAATATACTTTTGATTTGTAAGTGTTCACGGTAAAATACGTGCTAATAAAACCAGGGAGAAGTGTGGTAACGTCTTCTAACACTTTTCAACATTTCGACCCAAGGGCCTTCGTCAGGAGAGGCATAATTAGGGAGTTTTAGCAGTGACTACGAGTACAAGATATTCGCGCCAAACTCGGTCCTTTTGCCTACGCCATCTGACGTAACTCGTACTTGTTGGGCTCTTTTGAATACAAAATTAATCAGCAAACTCGTACTCAAAAGCTCAACGACGACGAGTTTTGGCTGAAGCAAAGAACACAAGATAGTGACGAGTCTTGCACTCGTGGTCGTACTCGTCCTCACTACATGCTAAGGCTCCCTAATAACACCGATCCTAATTGTTATACAACATCTGATGCGAAGTTGTAAGTAAGATGCTTTCGTAGCAAAAGCCTCATTTACACAGCACTCAAATATTTGTAAAATAGTGTAAACGCCTAAACGGAGCTAAATTGTATGTTGATTGAAAGATCCGCACCTTCGTGGAGAAACTGGATTTATATTTTCCCAAGATGGATGAAGTTCCTTTTCCTCCGTTTCATAATCCTTTCTGAACGCAAACCCAAGACGACAATACACGGATACGGCATTCTGCAATGACAAGAAAAAATCCGAATTGATGACCAGCTTAAACCAGGGCTTAAACCGTTGGCCAAAAAATATCAGCGTTAATGCGAGTGTTAAGGGTATAACATGAAGCCAGTGAGTCGTAAGGCTTTGCCACAAATGTTGTGGTTTGGACAGTCATGTTACGTACCTAGACTAATAACTTGCCATTTTCACGAAACAAAATGAGTATAGTAATATTTGACTCGCAAGTAGGATTGAAAAGAAAACGTCCCAAAGCCTTACTCAAAGAGATTTATATCCAAAATGTTTAGTCACTTTAATGTGCGTAGATTTTTTAAGGGAATCTCTTATTTACAATTGTATACATGATTACCAGGAAGAACTCTCCTCAGAACTTACTTTAACAAGTTGGAGATCAATTTGAAGAACATTAGCGAGCTAAATTTTAACAAAAAAGAGTTTGGTCAATATTTTATTTCTCCCGATGAACTTTAATAACGATATGCCTGCATAATCAGGTTCAGTATTCTCAACTAGATCAGTGCACGAACTCAAGCTTCACGCTCCAGTGTTCACAGCTATATCAATGCGCTAACTTCAAACTTCATGCTCCAGTTTTTAAAAATATATCAGTGCGTGAACTTCAAGCTTCACAATAGACCTTTTTCCTAGTGACGTCAAACGCGGAAAGTCTGATGTTACACGAAGTTTGATTGGCTTGATAGTTTTGGGGAGCAAATCAAATTTGGTGTAACATCAGACTTTCTGCGTTTGACGTCATTATAAGAAAGGCCTATTCCAGTGGTCACAATAGACCTTTTCCGCTTACATGCAAATTAACCCATTTCAGATGTTGTGACCATGTAATAGCCTATAAAACTTAACCATTTCAGACCACGTGACTTGAAATGGGTAATTAAAAGGGCTATTATATCAGTTATTTAGAGGTTCTCGTCCCATACCTCTGCGACGTTTGTATGTTCGTCGATGGAAACGAATATCTTATATAGCAGTGTTTCGAAATAGTCACCAAGGACACGATTCATAACGAAATTCTCCAAAGGTGGAACTATAAAAAATAAAAATGTGTAAATCTAAAATGTATAGTTTTCACCTCGTGTGTATTGAAGCGAAAATGAAATATATTTTATAGGTTAGCGTCAAATGTGGTATAACAACTGCCTCTGGCCCTCAGGTCGAAACGTCGAGAAGTGTTTTGTCTATTTAGGCAGTTGTTATACCACATTTGATGCTAAGTTGTTTGAAGACGCTGCCACGCTGCTCCTTGGTTATATTTTACAGGTGAATGTAATTCAAATAAACGAATATTTTGCTTGGTGAACGGCTGCTGTCTGCCGGGGCTTGAAACAGAGGTGTCAGAAAGTATAAGAAACTTAACATACAACATCACAAACTAATCTTGTTTAGTTTTACACCACACTCAATTTGGCACCCGTTCCTAATTTTACATATCCGTGGTGAAGGTACCAATAGAAAGTCCCAGCATGGATGACATGGGTACTGGTGCTCATTCTCACTGTGCCATACTAATAACAGATGTATTTATCAAAACCCAACACCAGGATATTTAATCTTTCCTACGCTTTATAGAGTTATTTGAAGTGAACTTAACACATCATAAACGATTCATATCTTGTTATGACCAAAACATTAATCATATATACACAATTCTTATCATTCTTATATCCGATAGACATAGTGAACACAAGCCTTTATATACTATATATATATTCGTACATATTTGAGACCTTTATATGAACTCATGTGAAATTAAAACACGTTAACGCGATCAATTTATAATACTTCGTTCAAATAAAAAGATAGATTCCTCGAACCTGCCAGAAATCTATTGTATTACTTAAGAAACTAGCAGAATCGTTTCAAGTTCAGTATGTTCACACACACACATGCATGCATTTGTTAAAATACAACGCTCTTATCAAATAAATATATATCCTACTTGGATTAATTTATGTACATGCCTATTTACAAAACACATTTCTACAACAGCGACAGATTCTCCAATATCTGATTAAGGACCAAATTCTTGCGACATTTTCGCAGAGTCACTCCGTTTTCCATTAATGTACTGAATGTAGTGCAAATGGGGCCAAATAATATATATTGTTATACCAACCTACGATACAATCGCTGTCGTTAATAGGAACATCTAGATAAACCAATCCTTTTGTGTATAGACCTAAAGAAAACAGTCAGTTAATGCAAGTGGACATAACAAGGAGAAAAAACATTCCTGTATATTTATGCCAAATTGAACCTACTTTGAACAATATTTTTGTCCATTTGCCCAGCACACATGTGTTTCTTGTCTAAATCAATGATCACATCGATAGCATCATGTTCATCTTGGGAACAGGCCTAGAAGCAAAACAAACATGTTAGACTGTTGAAACACACAACAGCTTACCCATTTTGGCAAAAATTAACATTGGCATTATGGTTTTAAAATTGAGCTACTGAATTAGGGGCTGTTCACATCTGACTCATGACTGAACAACTTTGTGTGGTACCTCAAAAATCAACTCCCTGTCATTGAATCTGGGGAACCTAGCCTGCATGCAGCCTGACTTTTCGGGGCAAAGGGGGAAAAAGTCAGGCTGCACACAGGCTAGGAGATGATTCAATGAAGCAGGAGATGATTTTGAGGTACCACACAAAGTTGTTCAGTCTTGCTTAGATTAAAAGTTGCTGCAATTTCGACTATTTCTGACTGGTATATAATTTAGTTACCTACCTTGATGTCATCTTCTGTAACAAAACCAACATGAACAGTCCACCAAGGATCCAGAAATTTTAATGAGACCGGCTTCATTGGCAAAAGATCACGCACAGGGCGCTTACGAAAGAATTTCTACAAAAATTTCCGGATGATAAGATATATGAACATTGTATTTGAGAGGACATACTTTTTACTCGGCTGCAGAACATAAATTTAGGGTGGAAAAAGTCCAACAATTATAATGGAATACAGGCAAAGCCCCTAAAAGCCCTAGCTAGTAGAGGGGAATGTATATTCACATATGCCCAACTGATATTTTTTTAATGCGATTAAGCGGTACAGCTACCCCCCTGAATACAGTTTAGGTAATACTCACTCTAGAAGATCTACATTGGTTCATTAAGTCTATGTACTGATTTCTTCCAATACCAAGAAGACGAAGGCCTGGATAAATTGGAACATAAATATATAAATCCAGTTTGCAAAAAATCATTTACCACTGATACCAGTATTGGAATAGGCCTATTTGCATACCTACACTGACAGCTAATTTAAATCAGCAAGGCATTATTTCACATTTTAAGTGATGGGATATTGTGTTGGCAAACATGATATTATCATGATGATAAAGTGAGGAAAATATCAAAAAAGAAGTTTTGAATCTGAGGATATTTTTTCACGCAAAATCACATCACTTCAAGGGTGGCATTGTTATAATTTCAACTGTTTTACACTTACAGTCAGCTGCAGCAAAATTTGGCAAGGAATCGTAACTCTTTTCCTTTGACATGACATCCTTCATCATCTCAATGTAATAACCGAAGGGAGTTATCCTCAGTCCTTTGACAATCACATCTGCCAGGTGGTATGGATACAGCTACAACAAAACCATGCATCAAGAAGTTACAAAGAGAAAACCTTTAAAACAATAACCAATAGTTTATACACTGATCATGAAGTCTCCTAGGATTTTGAGAGAACTATGGTTGACACTTAATGCACCCAAGTGCTAAAGTAAGAAAAAGGCAGGACATGCATACCATTAGATGCTCTCTGCTGTATGCCAACAAGTCTTCATAATATTTCTTCTCATCTTTTCTAATTTGTCGAACTAAAAATGGAACATCAATTAGTATCCAATTTTCATGTGTATCTCCAATCTGCACTCCTCTAATTAAATCATCTTTAAACTCACCCAAATTCCCTCGATGCCGAAGCTGGTTCTTAACACTAAATTCAAACACGTTTCTTTCCCATTCTCTCTGATTGTTACCTAAAGACTACATTAGAAAGCAAAAAAATAAATTGCCTTAAGTTACCTGGTTGATAGTTTAAGGAATAGACTCTCAATATTACGTACAGTAGCATTTTGCTTTCTAGATATTTAGCTATATTTTCTTGAAAGATTGCTATCTTCATTTACCTTCATTTCGCCTTGTTCGAAAGAAGGGCAAGAATTATAGCAAAAAAATGTATTCAATTTCACATTGTTATGAGCAGAAATAATGTGCAGAATGGACTGGACTTTAACTTTAATACTTAGAAGACAAATAAAGTCCAAACAAGTTACATTAACATGATTTTAACTTGCTGTTCTACAATGAAGTTTAAGCAAATTAACTTGAACCTGATTTTATTTCAAATACCATTGTGGACCTCAGGAAAAAGGCATATGGGTTACAAGGATTTTCTAAAAACTATAGCGTACAAGTTGATTGCGAAGTTCTGTCAAGACTACATTCACATGTTTCAACATTAAAGTTTTCAGTCTCTGAATTAAGCCAAAACACACAAAGAGTCATCATTTATCAAACTTAACAAAGACATTTAATTTAAGTGATCAGTCACTGCAGATAAACCAATATCAGTCCTTATCAATTATTTTACAAAATGGGCTCAGTCCAGGATATTGTAATAAACATCATCAGGGGTCTAGCACTTTCGGCTCTAGCTACCCCCGGTCACCATTCTAAACTTTCTAATTTCAATAACCACAAATATTTATATCAAGTAACAATGACAATATCCGTACAAGGTCGGAAGGTGTAAACACGACTACGATAATGAGATATTTTCATTGTCAAAAATATTTTTATAATAATAAAAGCACCGAGCACGTTACTTTCACAATTCAAAAGATCGTAAACTCCTATATCAATAACATCAGACTCATCAGTACATTGTGCACGAAATGTTCTAATTACGATTTTTACCTGTTTGACGCTAGGTGGGAGTTTTGACCATGGGTAACTATTCCTGATGTGAAATTCCAGATCGGAATTTTGTGTTGCCCTCGCCATTTATTTCGCTGAGAATGAAAATCATGCTGAATCAAATTTCATTGCATTTTTATCGGCCATTTCCATAACTTCGTCCCTTACGTGTCATCACCCCCGGAAAACATTCCGAAAAGCTGGCGACAACTTGCCGACATTTTCCGAATACTTTGGGTCTTTTGGAGGCAGTTGGTTTCGGAATCGCGTAATGTGGCAATGCGGGGCACAGGATAGTGAGGTAATGGCTTGAAAACGGTTTTTTGATGGAAAATTGGGCTTGTCAAACGAAAACCTGTGTTCTCAGGTCATTTTCTTTTACTTGGTTCTCCAAGGCCTTAGGACTTACAATTAGTAAGGTAGAGCTAAATTTCAAGATAGATTTATAATTTTTGGCACCCTCCCCCCTCCAAGTCCATTCAGTAACCCCACAGGCATTATTTTATAAACCTTGTCACACCTCCAAAATCATTACCAAATCCTGGTAATTTTGCTAACCATCTATACTTTAATAAATAAAAGCTCCTTTGATATAACATAATAACATGTCATGTATGTAATGACATATGAACAACTGAAATTGAACTCGACTCATACACAATAAATATGAAAAAGGGAACAAGCAAACAAACAATTAAATTGCAATTATTGTCAATAGACATGGATCTAGCCTAGCCTAACTACTTGGGAGAGGGGGGCAGATCGAGATAGGGATAGCCACATATTAAATCACCAATGTGTGGCATGACTTGACTATCCGAGACTTGCTTTTTATTTTGAGCAATGTTAGAGTGTTCACCACTTCACCCACCCAATGCATGAAATGCTAACATTGAAGTCAAATTAATTAGGTTCCTCTGAAGAACAGGGATTGGTTTCAGTTATTTCTGAAGACTCAACTTCAACGGTTGCAACCATGCTGGGTCCTGTTGTGTCCATCGTCAACAATGATGGAGAGCAAGGTGTCGCTGATGAATGGTCATCATGGTGATCGTTGGTTATTTGAGATGCATCAAACACTCCAGAGATACGAAAGGCATTGATCAGGGTCTCTGGTTGCATTAGTGCTTCCCAAGCAGATTTGAAAACTGAACAGAAGTTCTTTTTTGTAATGTCTGTGTTTGGATTCGTCTTGCTGTATTTTATGATGCGCTTCAAAAAGAGAACAGATGTTTGTGTTATATTTTTGGCAGGTTGAACAAAGTTCTCAGGTTACATGTAATATGACCTTCAGTGCAGTCAAATGAAACTTGTTATTATCAGAGACTGGTTTCATGAAGCTCTTAATCAACTAACTATATATTTTGAGCGGTTAAATCATAGTCAACCCCAAAATATGCCATTCTGCCACTATTTTCACTTGAACATTAATTATCTTTTTGTACAGCCAACCTCAAAAGAGCAATAAAAACAAAGTACCTTGCTCCAAGTTTCTTTCAGAGCACAGGAAAAGGAATCTTCTGTAGCAAGGCAGTTTGTATTCTATAGAAAAGAAATATATCTGGGGTTAGAGTAAAGATATTCTAAATTTTGAATAAGTCGCTCTTTTTAAAAGCACTGAATCTTAAAAGAGTAAAAATGGAATATTATTTTGTCACAATATGCTGTTTATAATTTTCATATTTAAAATGTAATGTTTGAAGCTGTGGTGATAAGAATTTAGTACATAAATGGAATAATCAATTTCAGACTCAAACCCAGCTTGGATTAAAATTCAACAAACTTCTTGATTGTAACAACAAGACTTTTATTTGATCTTGCTTGGGCAACAATATATACCTCATATATCTTGATTTCATTTTTTTCAGCCACCTCTATGACATCCATGTCAGTAGTTCCTGACTCAATCAGTAACACAATTGGTCGCTCTGGTGGAAGGTTAGGAATGAAATGGTCCTCAAACCATATATACAAGGCAGAATCATCCATGCTGCCCTTGTCTGTGATGGTAAAATTGCAGCCAGTCACCCCTCCTTCCAAAGGGTTGAATGATCTTGGTATCCTTTTGCCAGGAATTATAAGAAATGGAGGAATCCACTGCTGGCCACATGCACTAAAGCATGATAACAATGTAAGCTGCTCATTAGAGGCAGTATCAACTGTTTCAGTCAGGCCTACAACCTTGCCAGCACTTCCTTGCAGATTAAAGCAAGTTTCATAACATCTCCATATTTGGCCAGGGCAGTCAGCTAGGCTGTGTTCTCTAATGAGCTGTTCATAGCCAGAAAACCATTTTCTCACGGCACCATCTTTGCACAAAGTCTTTGCACGTTTCTTTTGGCAAGGGAGTTTAACATTATTTCGAGCCAAGAAAAGCCGAAGCCACTTCTCACCTGCATTAGGCACACAAAGTTATATAACAACAATTAGGACATAGCATAATATTTCATTCACTTATGGGGGAGTGAGGGTGTAACAGGAAAGGTGGCATTACCCTACACCTTTTAACAATCCCCCCCTCCCACATTAGTCTCAACAAGGAAGGGGTTGCACAAAGCTTTCAAATACTTTTAAGGGGAAACTACAGGAACAAAGGCTTGTCAATCATCATAATATTTGAACAAAGCATTTCTGCAAAATCTCTATGTACATATTGATAATTTTCATGCATTGATTGAAGGCCCCAAAACTGAAAAAAAACCATGATCTAACCTGGCCTATTATCTGTGAATTGTGTCTTGCGTTTCGCCTCATCCAGCATTTTTTTCACAATATCAAAAACATTATTCTTAGTCAGTTTGCGGCCATTTTTATCCATCTCTAACAAGTACTTTGCCAGGTACCTCTCCTCCTTTTTTGTTAAAATAGGTGGGGGACCAGAACGTCGATCATATTCCACCCTGCCACAAATTCGCTCATAAAGAGATGATTTAGGGATGCCCCATTTTTTTGCAGCTGCTCTCAAACTCATTCCATTCTTCTGGACATCTTTCATAGCACTTAGATATTTTTTTGACTTGCTGTTGAAATTATCCTTTGAACTCATCATAAATACTCTACAAGATTGGAATATAGGTAAATAGGAATTTTGAAGCAGATCGGACTTTTCACAAGGGACTTTTTACAAAAACAGATGTGACTGGCACATGAAAAAAATTATGCTAATCAGATATGTACGAATTCAACCATAATTCGTTGTTTTTGCATGTCAGAGAGTACCATTGTGCAAACACACGTTCTAAAATAGTTTATGAACTCATGGTTAATTACCAACGAAATACCATGTACATAAATTCCAGAATCCCGGAATAAATCCCGGAATGTCCATATAAAACTGGAAGTTCTTTACAATTTTTTTTATCGATCGATCTTACCTGCTGCAAGCTAATATAAAGTACGAAGTTTAAGTAAAACCATTGTATTTCTTTTCCTTTTCGTTTACCCCAGGCAAGCCATAGTTAATCAAACTTTAATGTTTAAATCAAAAAGTTTAAAATATATCGAAATTTGGGCGGCCATGTTTAAAAAGTAATATACTCCCCCCCCCGGAAATAACAAACACCATTGTTTGAAATTGCTACTTTATAACTTGGATAAATAATTTGCGCTACTCAGTACTCACAACACAATGTCTATGCGTGCAGCAACGGATTATATTTCGTACGGTTATGCTGCTGTTGTTGCCTTTGGTGGGGTTTTTGGCTATGTTAAAGCAGGTGATAGGCAATGTATAATTGTATAGGGTTAGTGTACTACAGTACTGCAGTTGGTACTGTACTAGTGCAATGGTCAATAGTGCACTACCCAATTCAAGAATGACCATGTACTGTAATGTTTCATGTAACAAAATGAAGTAGTGTACTCCAGTACAATGAATTACTTCATCAAATATTGAATTTGTTACATCGATGGTATGTCAGTGAGCGAGGCCCTCAATTTTGGTCCATTCTATAGGACTGTACGAACAAGATGTTTCACTAACATATCTTAAGTGTTTAGCTTTTTGCATGTGGTCATTAGCAATTAGTATATTCTCTCTGACATATATTTAGGTAGTGTAATGTCATTAGCAATGGGACTGCTATTTGGAGGTCTTGCTGGATATGGGGCGATGCAGACTTCTGCAAATCCGAGAAATGTGATGGTAGGACTATGTAAGTTGAAATTTAAAAAGTTGTGATATTTGAGATATATGCTGCTTATTTGCTATAACATTTAATAGGACTTACCAATGGTGATTCAACAGAATGTGATGTATATACTTCATTTGAACAGGTGCGTCAGGCGTTCTTGGATTGGTCATGGGAGTGCGAACTTTCAAGTCAGGAAGATTTAAGTTAATGCCAGCTGGCTTAGTACTCATACTCAGGTAATTGCAGTTGGCAAATATGAAGCAGTTGTGAGAATTTCTAGGCTAATTCTGAACTTCTGAAAAGAAAACATTCACCTTTGCTGATTGTCTCTTTACTTAGCTTATTGCAAGTTGGGCGTCTGCTGTACAAGTACAGAAGCTAAGCTGAAAGGAAGAAAATTTACATTCGTAGATAAGCTGTGACATAGTGTAAAACATGTTATGTGTGTAAACACTTTTTAAAAAATGTGTTCCAATTGTATTCCTTAAAACCATGTGAATTAATTTTAAGTTTTAATAGCATGTCAGGGAATGATTCGAGATTATTTTCCTATGTTTTTGAGGCATTGTTTTTGACAAATTAATTTTCAAACCTACAAAGCACGAAATGCGAGTTAACATTTCACACTAAATCGAGGCTATTGATTGTATATACGTGTACATCTGCTGTGCAAGCGACGCTTCTGGTACAGTTTCGGCAACATGAAGTAAAACGTTTGTTCGCTGGCCTTCATTGGTCACCGGCGCAGGTGGGCGAAATCGGGCGAGTTTGGGCGGGATGATTCAAAAAATACAAAAATCTTCTCGGTTTTATATTTTGACAGTTTTTATGTATTACGCCCGGGATAATAAAGAATTTTAGCATTACCTTTGTAATGAGTGCGAAGAAAAGGAGGCTCTCTAGTTCTGTAAGAAATGAAAGCAGTATTTTGGTAAGTGTACATGTTTTTATAGATAATCCCTGTTTGGCCAAATGCCTAGCCAGGCTAGCCTGAGTCCTGTTTTTTGGTCATGAAAATAGTTCGTTATATATATTTGCTTCACATTGAAAAGAATGAATAGTGAATCAGACATACAAGCGAGCATACCTTTGTTAAATATACAGTATATCCATCCACGATAAAGTACATATTGTCTTCTCTGTCCAAAGGAGCATTTTTTTATTTCTTATTACATTGTACAACTGCTCTATCACCTCTATATAATCGTTCAATAGTGCAGTCTGCGTGGAAAGTACGGTTGTTTCTGTGCCTTCAGCCTTCAAGTATACATCTAATTCATTCAATTTAGATTGCTAAAACTGTGCAATAAAACATAGTTAAGTTTCTGCTTATAATCAACAGAGTAAAGAAAAACTATCAACCAATGTTGCCTATGAGCATACCTTTCTCTATTACACCCAAATTTGTTTTTTCTTTAGGCTTCACCTTTGCTCTCAGAATTTAGCAACAGTTTTGTTGAGAGCATGATGTCCAATGATGAGAATACTGACAAAGAGGAAGAACCTCTATCACTTGTTCAATCACTTCGATTGAGAATGGATGCAATGGGTGATTGTGCATTCATTTTGCATGTTGAATCTGATATGGCAGAAGTCTAAGTTTTTGAATTGGGCTAGTATTTTATCCTTACCTGAAACATACATTATTCTATCATTATTTTATTTATCCAAATTTGCAAACTCAAGCTATCTGCCCAATTAACTGACTCCTGAAGAATAACAGGAGAGAGGGTTTGCTGATTTCCCCCTTCTCCACCTACGCAAACACAGACATGTATAGTTCATGCCTACTATTTCCATTTTTATACATGCTAATAACTCTAAAAGGACCAGATAACATTTCAAGATTATATAGAACTTCCATTGCATGATTCCATATATTCCAATTACTTAGAGCGTGAATCAGCAGAAAGACAAAAAGCTATGGCAAATTTGCCACACATGAAAAGATTCAAATCAACTATGAAAAAAAGGCAAATAAAACAGATATTACAAGAGGTGGCAGGTCAGTTGCGTATGTGGTGTAGCAAAAAAAAAACACAATCAAAACACACAGTTTGGACTACTAAAAAATAAATGAAATTTACAATTTCTATACATTCAGATGAAGAATTGGGAGAAAGAATTAAAAGTACCAAAAAAAGAAAACGGGTAAAAGATCTTTACTTTCTCACATTATAACCAAGCATTGCCAGTACACATACAATTATTAATTTACTTAATTTTTTAGACTACTAAATTCTTGGCGATAACTGGTATTGAAAAAAGGTAAGAGTTTACGTTCTTTCTGCACCTCGTGTTGTGGCTGAAAAATATACCTAATAAGTTCTCTTTTGTTTCGGTTCATTCAGTATACGGGAAACAATCATAGCTGTTGTGCACCAACTGGGTGAATACGAGATTCAGGGGGAGGTGGGTGCAAACACAACGCATGTTGTCTCAGGAGGAAAACGCAGAACATTGAATGTTCTCAAAGCAATTCTCTCTGGCTGTTGGCTCTTGTCTGTGGAATGGGTCATGAAATCACTGGAGAAAGGATTTTGGCTCAACGAGGAACCCTATGAGTTAGCAGAGAAGTTTCCTGCTGCAAAAGTAAGTACCACAGGGTACAGGCCTCACCCTTCTAATAACAGACACACACCCTAATCATGCTTTGTTGTGTCCACCTAAAAGCTCACACTTATATTTACACAGTTGCTAAGGAAGGAAAGGGTTTTGTCACGATCAACATACCACTGTAGACTTCTGGCAGACATCGGCCCAATCTTCATCTCACCATGCACAAGTCCCCCACTAAATGACATAACCAAGCTTATCCAGCTATCTGGTGGAGTGGTGAGTGCTAGCATGCTGTGTATTTAATATTAGCCTCATTCCCACCTGCCTGAATTTCAGGTGAATTATAGGAACACAAGTGCTGCAGGTTAGCTTGTTTAAAAACTCAAAACTCTCTTTGATCAAAAAAGCACTCCTAAAAAATTATCAACTTTATAAGCCATCAGAGTTTACTTGTAAGTTGTTGACAATAAGCTATTTTCCTGGAAATATGTTAAACAACTTATAAAAGGAACACCATCCCACTATATAATATGTCACCATACAATATTTTTTTTCACACAGATAACTGGTAGTGCTAGAAGGGCATCAGTGTGCATTGGTAAAATCTCGGCTAAAACAGATGGTGTACAAGTCACTGAGAAATGGTTACTAGGTGGGGTTTTTACGTTCACATATTTAAATGCATTGGATGTTTATGAAACATGTGGTTGACAATTCGGAATGATATGTATTTCACTCTAAATATATTCTTGTTTCTAGATTGTATTACTCGGCAAACTGTTTTACCATTTGAAGAATACCAACAGGCAGGCAACTCTTAATTTAAGACACATTCCAACAAAAGATGCCTAATTGCTGTATATAATATGTTGTAAAATGTAAATATATTTTTACATTTATAATGTGGTAATTATATTCCTCTGTAACAAACTGATTATATATATTATATATTAACTTATTAAATAATTTGCTAGATCATACTAGATGTCATTTGATTTGACTGGTTTACTTCCAATATGTTTTTATAGCTGTACATTTTTGAAGAGAGGAAACCAAATTTTTAGGTTTATATCTAGACACTTGTTTTGTGTGGAATTGATGTGATAAAACTCAAATATAGGTCAAGTAACGATCATCTGATTTCCAGGAGTCAACTTTAATCATACAAATTCTTCTGTAAGTCCTCATTTTATTTGGGTTTAGGAATGGCATCAAAAAATAAAATATTTCAGCATTAGAAGAAATAAAAATTGGGGACAATGCCAAGCCAAATTTGGGTTGCGAACTTGCGGTACTATTTTGTTTTAGTAATATGCTATGTTAATCTGCAACTTGCAAAACTCTATTGTAAAATATCCCATGTTAAAATTTTATTGATAAAAAATGGTGGGATGCTGGAAAATATGATTTCAACATTTATATATACAATTTGCATAATTGTAAATTTTGTAACTTACAAAAATAAATTACATTCTGAAACTCCATTTTTCTTTTAGCCTGTTTTTTTCTTTCCTTTTTTTCCTTTCTCCCATTTCACTGTGTCAAGTTCATGTTGAGTGATTTCTGACATTCTTGCTTGAAAGCCAGAATTGCAACCAAGCATAGGGTCAACATATTTACAACCTGAATGAAAATTAAGTTAAAAATAATCGTGTGAATGCAAGCCTTTTATGAGGATAAAGGGGACAGAGCAAAGCCAAATAAATGCAAGTAATGATGTATCATAAGTCTAATGTGTAAAATCATTCAGTCTATTGCCAAGGAGCATTCTTAACATACATGCACAAAAACACAATCAGCTTTATATATTCACCTTTTTCATTTAATGCACTTTTAACAGTCTGCCATCTATGGAGTAAAACAAGTTGTTCAGAAAACAAAATACATTCCTATTAAGAGCATTCCCAAATTTACAGCAAAAACCTACTGTGTTTCTCAGGCAGAAACAAAAGAAACTATATCTTATATTTTTACACATAATACCTTGGTGATGGTTTGGTAGCTTGATTCTGTTTAGGTCCGATTGTTGAGACAGGTGTTCCGGTGGCGACCAGATCTGTCTGTGTTTGCAATAAGTTTATATACCCGGTATGATAGTTAAAGCCATATGTGTTGCCAAATGTAATTTTTTGTCCTGTCAAATGAGATATCCTTGGCGGCGGTCGAAAGGAATTATTACGCGAGGTGTATAAATTAGTACCGTCAGGTACCGTATAGAGTTTAGATGAATAGTTTGGATCATAATCAATGCAGTTCACAACACTTGCTAATGGTTTATTAACTCTGTTTTGACAGCTGTAGTTGGATTGTGGTCTATCTGCTCTAATGTCCGACTTTCCATGTGGTATTCTTTCATGATCTTTCAATGACGATGCTATGCTACTAAAAAAATAATTGCAGTTACAGGGTAGTGATAGCAATATCTAACAGCTTAGTTAATGATATTTTCTAGGCATGTGTTTTATAGTAAAACACAATGTTTACACAAATTTTTTTTTAGCAAACTAAGCAGGTATCTCTGCAAGGCTTATTAACAATGTATGTCTGCAAGGCTTATTAAAGATGTAGCACTGGTTATTAAAATGCAATCCAAAAAAATGATATTTCCAATTAATTTTCTCTTTGCTTTGAAATAAATAATTGATATAGAAAGTATGTGTCAACCTTGAGATAACCTTGGTTACCCAAAAAATATCACCTACCCAAGCTCCAGTGCATCTTTTCCAAATGTCGTATGTACGTTGGAAGAACAATTCCTCTGATCTAGAGATAGTGGTTCTAAAATAATAATAATTTAATTAGGCAAGAAGTCTCATTAAGTTGCATGCTGATTACTGATAGTGGAACTACCTGCAAAACGCATCTGTTCAAATTACATTTTTGTTTAAAGCCCGTCAAACATAATTATATACATTGATAATATTTATTGTACATCAAGGATTTTGTGGTTGGAAAATCTTCATGTAAAACCTGAAATCACCAGCCAAATTTTCACGAATAACAAGTAACCTTTTGCATTTCTTTATATTTGTTCGAATTTTCCCTTTTCCGCTCAATTTTTAGCATAAACAGATAGCTTAGTGAATTTTGATTAGATTCATATCCTGATTATAAAATAGTATTTGAACAAACATTAAAATATAAACACGCTGCGTTCTTTATAGACTTACTAAGCATAAACTTTTGCTTGTTAGAGCTACTTCGTCTCGGACTATGCGAGGCCATAAACGAATCCACGGATAAATTCGTCGTCCTGAACGGCCTCAAACTAAGAGTGACGACGTGTGGATGCACACCATTAGCGCTTTCTTTCAAAATTGGCGATACAAAACTTCCAGTGTTCAATTCGGGCTCGTTGCCTTTGCCTTGTGCCATCCAAGTTCGAAGAACTACATCATTTGGCAAGCCTTTTGGAAGTTTCATTTGTCATACAATATAAAGCATTTCCTTCTTATTAAAATGATATTTCATGCGGCATTGACACAGCATACACATGCACGTATTGAATATTTACTCAAGTTCCTCGCTGTTGCTAGGCAATAAAGTAGCAATTAGCAAACGCAAGGGGGTGGTCGTGCACCGACCTTGCGGAACGCGAAAAATCCGGGCGTTGTTACGGACTTTTATGGCGAGGTGACGAGAAAGCTAAATAGCGGATTGTTTCTTTTTAACATGATGAATTTGGAATAAATTATTGTAATTGTTACGTTGCCAGTAATTAGACGACGTTTTATAGTTTTATCTTCACAAACATGCTTCTAATTTGCCACTTCGCTACCTAATTTGCGACTTCGCTACCTAATTTGCTACTAAAATAGGAAATCTCGAAAACAAAAGAACTATAAGTATAAGATGTTTCTTGCACGAGAACTTAATATACACATACCTGCATGGGACCCGTCAATAGCGTTTCCTCTTTGCGAGTGCGACGACTGCGAACGTTATCCAACCAGCTAAAGAAAGCGTTTTACAGTATATAGTGAAGTCAAAAGAAATCACTAGCAAATAGTTTCAAAATATAAGGTATTAAGCACTTTATACTGGAAAAGAATCGAAAGTATTTATAAATTGTTACACACAAGAATCTACCCATGTTACGTTTAAAGTCAAATCCAGCACAACATCTACAGTTTTCACTTTAAGGGAATCAATTGACAGGAAACCATTTTAAGACATTTGATTTTTAACCTTCTTGAATAATTCACCCGTCTTTTATAACACTTTTACAGAAAATAGATTGAAAAATTTGCTGCGAGATAAAAGTCGTCGCAATGAAGGAAATCTGACATTTAGACATCGTTTTTCATGTAGTTTTAACACAAATGTGTAATGGTTTAATATTTCCGAAACAAATAATACTAACATAGAAAATTTATCAGTTGAAATTAAATGCACAGTCGTCAATATTTAGATGATTACTTACCAAATTAAATATCTTCAATTTATTAATCAGTTTTAGGCTTAAACATGGCAAAGATTCAAATGTCGCTGACAAAACTCTTCTCTACAAAGTATCAGAGCCTGATATATACACAAATTATTTGTTATGCACTGATTTGACTAAACTAATTTAGGACTACGTAAAATAGATTAACATTGAAACTTTTAAAAATACTTACATGTTTGGTAAAAACTTGTACGAGTTTAAAAATCCAGAATTTAAACAATACATGCAGCATGGCCGCCATATTATGGTTAATCAAAGTCGAGGTTAGTATCCAAAGTATTCTTACGAGTTAAAAAATCTCACATATAAAAGTTATAAAGTTAATACCATGCAATAAATCTTATTACCGCTAACTGAGTTTACTTTTTCGATTATATAGAGATCATTTCCGTCACCCAATTATGAAAAATCAAGGATTAAACCACACATGTCAAATGTTATGATTTCTACGTGCATGGTTATAAATCGTAGTATGGGGAATGGCCGTCTAGAATTACGCCCTGCAAAATATCACTCGGATATGATAAAAGAGGGTTGAGGGTATATAAGGTCAATTAGAAATTAAAAAAATTTAGTCGAATTTTAACTGCTTGTTATTTCAATTAACGCACGTATAGAGAGAACTTGTTATCAGTTACATATTAGTACTTAGAAATAGGTTACCGGGTTGTTTGGATATCTCAAGCGAGCCAAAAAAAAATTTGTGGCATCCTTTTTTATTGTCTTCTCTGAGATTTAGACAGGGACAACAGCAGTTTATTTGTTTATATCAAAAGACATTTTTATTATGAGAATATTTAACATGTAACAGTTAAAAAAGTAATTTGTTACTGGTATATCAAATCAATACAAATATTTAAAGAGAAACTGACGCTCTTACAAAAATAGGTATCTGTAAATCTATCAACTAATTAGTCAGTAATTAACAAAATCAACAAATTAACAATTAACAAATCTACTTTGGTTACATTTGCTCTGGGTTAAATCCTGAATTTCACGCACAAAATACATTTAGTATAAAAATACTCTACTTCTAAGAACATTTAAGTTTATATCACGATTCATCCAGGGACACTCATAGTTACAGTTGACGAAGAAGGCTTTAAAAATAAAAATACACATACTTACTGCATGAACTGATAGCTACTCTGAAATTAATACTAATTTGTACCTTCACATTAATTTTGATATTGTTAGCCATTTTTTGTAACTGCACAACAACCATTTAACTTTTAGAGAATATACATGTAGAACATGTTTAGAAAACAGGGACAAAATTACCATACACTTATATGACTATTAAACACTGTAGAAATTTAATGTTTAAAGAAATATTATATATCTTACCTTATTTAATATCTCAGTATCGTAGAATTTAACACACAATTTATAGTTAAAAAAGACAAATTGAAAATGTTATCACAGAAGATGACAACAATCACATATTTACTTTATCAGAGGTGTAGTTTTTTAATTTTTTTAACTAGTAATGATACTCTCAAACAGCATCCATTTTTAAAGTTTATCTGGTTCTATTTCTTTATTAGCATTTTCATTTAACTATTTAAAAAGTTGCCCACAATAGGGGGCTGATTTACAATGGTATTAATATTACTACTTCAAATATACAGAAATTTTCAGTTGAATAACATGTTAAAGTGAAAAGCATTAAATTTTAATATTGTAATGAAAAAATAAGGAGAAGAAAGAGGAATTAATTAAAACACAATTTAAAGAAAATACAGAATAATAATATTGAGATATTTTATACATATATTCAACTGGGAATTTCAGTATAAAGATGTAATAGTTTTTATCGTCATACCTTTAAGAAGTTATATTTAATTCATCACATTTGTACTAAGTATATTTTTATTTTTCATTATCTTTTAAATTTGATTTAATATTAATAACATACATGGACCATGCTTTTAAATGGCATGCACATGTGCCTTGAAGACACAATATAAATCATAGCAAATTTTCCTTGTAACACTGATGTTAAAATTTAACACACATTGTTAACATTTAGATAGAGGGTTAAAGTGGAAAGAAAATATTTACAGCGAGAAATTTAATGTCCTTTAATTCACGTTAGCTTGTCTTTGCTTGTTGTTAAATCTTTTTAAAACAAAGTTATAATACAATTAATATAAAACTACAGTATTAATTTTTTGTCTAATTTAGAAGACAACATATACATTTCAATATTATTTAGTCTGAATGGATCAATAAATGTGACCATGAATCCACATACATAGTATTACGTTAGAAATGCAGTTTCTGAAATCACTTGTAGATTTGCAGATTGCAAAACATTCTGATATTTTAATTGCCGGAGTCCTGTACTGCAAATGGTACAGAGGAAAGGAAGGGGGGAGGGATTCATTTTTTCAAATTATCATTTAAAACCATGCATATCTAGGTGGTAGTTGGTTGACATTTACTGTTATGATACTATGAAATGCTGTATTTGGACAATAACATTTCAACAAAGGTATCCATTAATCCATATATAAACTGAAGCTTGGTTGCTTTGCAATTAGGCAGACATGAATGTGTCTAAAGAATATGTTTAAAGAGCCATGAACCCTACCTCTACTTGAATACAAAAATGCCACTGATGTGTTTTAGTAAGGATAGGTAGACTCGCGGGCTGAAGACTTCATTGATCTTATTGGTGCCTTTAATCGCACGGTGCCTGAATTTGCTATGGATTCAAAAATATGTAAAGAAAACATGCTCAAGAAAGATGCAAGTGTATAAAAACATAGAGAACAATAAATGACACTGGCATTACTCACACGAGTAGCTTGTTTCAGGAGCAGCATAGTCTGTGTAGTAAACCAACTCTCTGAATAAAGTGAGAGAAATTAGCACATTCTTTTAAAGAGAGAGTAAACAGCAAAAACATTTAATATATATAAAATATATCAAAACAAATATACAGTGCATAGACATATTACCCTTCAGGATAAGCTTGTTCATATTCATAACCAGCATCATGTGTTTCATAAGCCTACACAACACAGGGTATGCTAAGATTCAAGTTGTTGACTTCACTTAATAACAATCCACTTGTAATGTGGGTGAGTACTAGTTACCTATCTGTGTAAAATAGGTACAAAAGGGTTAGCATGCATGGGTTGTTTTTTGTACCTCCTCTTGATTAATACACTCAATATACACTCAAGCATGTTAGAGCAAATTTATGTTAGTAACTTACATAGGTTTCTGGTGCAGTACTTGCATGTCGTGGTGTACTGACAGTTGCCACAACTGCAGATCGTGGTAGGGCATGGGTAACCGAAGACCTCACAACATGTGTACCCCTTACGGCAACACTACGACCACGGCCGCGACCTCTCACAACAGGACTTGCAATCACCGTGGCAACAGGAGCAGCAACTGCAGTAGGACCCTCGTCCAAGCCATTTAGATACGCCAACTCACGCATTTGTTCTTGACGGATTGGATCATTCGGATCCTAATGCAATGTGATCAAACATTTCGTTAGTGCTATTCAAACTTAAAGCATATAGCTAATGCCTTATATAAGTAGACTAATTTGAAATTTAATGGGCACTTACTGGAATGAGGAATTTCTGAACTTCAGCTATACCAGCTGCAAGACGGCCATGTGCTTCCGCCTTAGGTGCTTCCACTTCAATTAAGACATGCAAGTCTTCTTTTAAATGCCCATGCTTTGCATCATCGGATTCTAAAAGTTCTTGTTCCTTCAAATTACAACGTTGGGATTTAGGTATATCACACATGACAAAAGACATTGAATTCCAAAACACCGTGGTTGCAAAGGAAACTTGTCGGTTATTTTTCTATCACTACAAATGCAGAAATCTATTTTCTATTACCTTTTCTCTATCTCTCATTGATCCTCTGCCCAAAATTGACATTTTACATCCGGTTAAATTTTGAAGGCGTTTAAATGTGTGTCCCTTTGGTCCCAAAAGCCGTCCAACAAAATTAAACTAAAATATTGCAATGCAATTAGCCAACAAACACACGCAATAGTACTTACACAGGTTCATTACTTGGGAGGTGTGGGAGGTAATTGCGTACGTATCATGCAATTGTTTTGCAAATCCCTAGGAATATGAATTACACCTCCTCTGGACAGTTATGCACTTCCCAAAGTGAAAGGTCAAACTGTGGGTTTTCAAAATGATTGAGTACCCTCAATCACGTGCTAATTTAATTAGCATTTAAACTGTTGAACTTCAGACAATTATATATCATTGCGTTAACCTTTTCAACAGAATTGCTTTACTATATAGTAAGGAAACCAGATATGATGCTTGCCTACCTTGGGATATTTTTTGATTGGTATCATAACTTTTTCTGACAGTTTAATACAAGGTTCGACTTCACGTTCATACTGTCGCATGTAATTCTGTTTCCTTTCCCGAGGCTCAATGCCTGCCTTGCCTTCAGGAGTGTTGTTGTTGTAATTATCCATAGCATCTTTACTAGTCTCCTTCTGACCCGACTCAACCCTCTCAATTTCTGGTAAGAAAATTTGGCAATGCCAATAGTTAGACATTACCACTGGCTGTGTCTACCAATATCTAATGTCACCACATAATTTTATTACCAATTGGGCTGGCAACTTAGGCAGGATATAGCTGGTTAAACTGGGATTTGCCTAGGTGGGCTAGGTACATTTTCTGGACAAGCTTGCCTAAGTGAGTTGCCTGACACTGTGTTTACAGTTTACCTGGAAATTGAAAAGAAAAAACGGCAGAAAAGGGCCTCTATATTACTCTAAATGTTGTGGACATATGCCTCCAGTTTCTATCCCTGGTGTATGCATCAAGTTAAATCCAACTCTACCATCTTCCTGCTTCCATTACGAGTGTTCATTTCAACTGCCTTAACCCAGTGGGTCCATTTAACTACATACACCAGGGTTACCCAGGGTAGGAATTACAGGTAAAATGTAAGACTAATAGCATAGTGAAAATAGGCCCTTAGAACTCTATTATGATTATGAAACATAACTGTTGCCTATCTTGACTTGTGGCAGACGTTTTGCAATAATACTCTTTCTAGTTTTACTGATGGGGCCTTTGGCAAATAATGCCAAATATCAGTATATCACATCAAGGAATGTTGTTAAGAGCAGTGGATGATCTTTCAAATAGATTCTTGGCAGGTTTGCTATTGGTTGAATAAACCCCCTAACTAATGTTTTTTTATATTGTGCTCAATATTGTAAAATAGCTGAGTTATATATATGAAAAATACTCGATGTCTCCTCTTCGCTTATTACCAAAATATTGACTTACACATGTTCAAATATTTAGACTATGACAACCAATATATTTAGCTTTTAAAATGCACTGAATACAGTTTAGTTACCGACAAAAAAGAAACAGAAACGTTCACAATAGCTGAACAGGCCGCACGCTATTGAACAAAGCGTATAAATACCCAAATTTGTTTGAAATTTTACGCCAAAATATGACCTCTGCTTACCTTCTTCTAACAAACGAACGGCGTGTACGTGATACGACGGGTCTAAACTGTTCTTCTCTGCCACTAGAGCGTCGATATACTTGCCCAACTCCATGAATTTTGTAAAAAAAATATAAAAATACGCTATAATCAATGCGCTCTCTCTCTCACATTGGGCACTGAAAGATCGAGAGAATAAAGATCAATTCTGAACAGTCAATGGTCACGAATAATCACGAAGAACACAATGAACGGTATTCCGATTGGCTAAATTCGCTTCGAACGACGCCCGACAAGCCGATGTACGTCCGATGTATACCCGATTGAACTATGTATTCTAGTAATCATTGTAGTCAGTGATAGTAACTGCGCGATTAAATATAGATTAAAATCACCACTAATCACCAAGTTAGATTTTAAAACAGCTAAACCTGATCCGATCAAAGAATGAGTTCACTGATTAGCTCACGAAATTTTCGCAAATTAACGGTTGCTTCTGCTTGCAATATGAAAACCCACACTGGAGAGAAATAGAAGCTGACACAGCTGACAGCTAGCCCAAGCCAAATATGCACCAAATATGAATATTTCTTTATACAGTAGAAATGCCTGCGAAGGAGGCTAAGAAAAACCATATGAATGTGATTTTTGTAAACCAAGCATATTTGTGAAATCTAGCAGCTTTGCAGTTCACATGCAGGAGGTAGGCACACCACTAAGCCCACTTTTTAAGTCATTCAGCGTCATAGTCAGACACTGGAGCGAAGTGAGAACGACACTTTCCCTGTTTCACATAAATTAATACTAGTACTTCTTATAAAAATTAGTCTAATTTTTCACATAAAAGTTATGACGTACCTTTTTACATCGTGTGTACTAGACTATCAGTGGTGTTTCATTATAGCGCATACGAGCCCTCAAAGTTTGGTTAATTTAAATTCGGCAGGTGCTTTTTATATACAGCGACTGATAGTTACATCTGAAGTGCATGATAGTTATAAAGTAGGGCCATAGGTAGGGCTCGTTATATGTACAAAACTGGTTCTTGCACAGTACCGCAAACACAGAGAGGAAAATTAATGCGGCAGGCAAACATTTCTTAATCAAAATGTGTTTTATCAGTTTGCCAACCTTGAATTTTCTGAACTTTACCTCACTGTAGTCCTTCCCTTCTTACCATATTTCTGAATGGAGTTACAATGGTCACAATTTGGAACTCGTGTAGGTTAACAGATACAGTGGCCATGCACAATCATAATCTTGATTTAATGAATTAATCTATCGCAGACCCTTGATGCTCATTCCGTTATAGCGTTATCCATTGTTCATTTCACCACCAGTCAGACTTCATCGGAGAACAGCTAATTCTTACATTTGCGCGTCAAGAAAGATCAGGTTCCTCTTGACTCTTGCATATATTCCATGACGACTTTGTTCGCAATGATAATGTGTTTCGGGAGGTATATGGCGGGCGCCCTGCATCCCTTGATTCACCGTTCAAAATTTGAAATACGTCGTTTTTCTTTGCTGTTTTCAGACCCTTTTGTACAGTATAGATTTCATTAAAGGTAAAGTAGAGAGACCATTCTTTGCGGCAAACACTCTCAGTTTGTTTCTTGCATAAAAACTGGAAAGTTTTCATAAAACAGTCAACTATGATTTGTAAACTTAAATTGGCATCAGTAATATATTTGAATTAAATCAAATTTAGTCAATCGTCTTTTAAAATTCCACCATTTAGATCTTTGAAATAACATATCGCACCTCGTATTACACAATATACGAAGTCATCAAATGTGGTATAACAACTGCCTACATTACACAAGAACACTTCTCGACATTTCGACCTGAAGGCCTTCGTCAGGACGGTAAGAGTCAGGAGAGACCCTTAGGTCGAAACGTCAAACTTCGAGAAGTGTTCTTGTCTCTTTTAGGCAGTTGTTATACTATATATACATTTAATGCTAAATATATACAGTAGTCCCTCGCTAACTCGAAGTCCCAAGGGCAAAGAAAAATTGTTCGAGTTACCGGGGGTTCGAGTTAACCGGAGTTGGTGTCAGATTACGTTTATTATTGCTGCCGCAGCGAGGTCGCCTGAGCGACCGAGCAAGGCAGCAGTCCCTAATTTGTGTAGTAGGGGAAGCAAATTTACGAAATAGCGCACTGCATTGTGGTAAAAGATCTCCTACCACAATGCAATGCGGTCGGTATACTATAAAACGACTCCATGCTTTATACGGTCAGTGTTTCAAATTCAAAGTGTTTTTGGAAGGCAGACACTGAGTTAGCCGTGAGATTGTGCTCGCATGACGCATCACTGTTGTATAAACGGACACCAAAAACGACGTGGTGAACCATACCGTTACTTGGCAATTGGAGTCTTGTGCTTTTGGTCTTTTACAAATACTTGCGCGTTTGGAATTTGAACTTTAATCTATTGTGATTTTAAGGTGTCGTATAACATTTGACTGTCACTTGTTTTATTAATTATAGCTTTGTCATTTCGATTTTTTTAAAAGGTTTGAAACCTATTTTCTTTTACTTTTATCATTGGGGTAAACCAGGTAAACCTGTGGCGTAACTAAAGCATGTATAAGTATTTAACTTTTAAGTTAGTTCTTTGATTGTTTTATTTAAGAGGCTAAAGCCTCAGGGTTTTAGTTTCACAAATACCTCGCGCATTTGGAATTTGACCTTTGATCTATTGTAATTTGAAGTGTCGTATAACATTTGACTATAATTTGCGTGGTATGAATTTTTAACAAGCAAGCATTTTGCGCATGCTATTTCTATAAGAGTATAGGCAGCACTACTGCCGTTAGGTAACCTAGTATAAGTATAATAATGCAATAAGATATAAAATCCAATCGAATCATTCTTCAAGGGATATTAGGCCTCCCAATATGAATGGTCACCGAGAGTGGACGACGTTTTAAAATTAAAAAGATCGAAAGAATACAAAAGGAACCAAAAAAGCTAGATCAATAACGAACGTGGCACTACACAAAATCTTTTAAAATTTATAAGCATTTATATACCATTATATATACACTGATTAACTTGTTGTTATTTCGATAGTTTTCAGTTGTCAAAATGCTATCTTCTCACATTATAAAGTTCGCTCATCTATGATTCGAAACCAAAGTTCGAGTTAACCGTATATATTTGACCAAGGGAAAACAAAATTTGTTCGAATTAGCGAGGAGTTCGAGTTAAGCGAGTTCGAGTTAAGCGGGGGACTACACTAGTATATGTTACATAATATGAAAATATTATGTAACACATACGCCTGGGAGCACCCATCCTAAGGTATCCTAGGGCCCAGTTTATGGGATTACACGGATTTCTCTGGCCAGTGTAAGAGAAGGTTCAAAAAAGGGAGTAAAAAATATGAAATGGAAAAACATGCAGCGATAATGTTGACGCGATGCGGCAACGCGCCGGATATCGATGTGGCAACACGACGCGAATCAAACATGCATGCTTATCATAAATAATGACACTTTGTCCAGTCTTTTGTTCTCTTGTTAGTCTCCTTTCAAAAATGTTAATCGCTAAATTATTTTGAAATTTATTTCACACTCGTCTGTTCATTTTCCCTATACGGACGGCATAAAGAATTTTCTATTGAATGCACTTATTTGCCTTATTGATGTTAAGGTCCATTCACACGATCCAATTTTGTTGTTGAGTCCAATTCACTTCTGACGTATGGAATATAGTTGGTTGATGATGAAATAGTAGTGCATTGCAGTGAGTGCATTGGTTTCAGTGGATTTGCTGCTCATATACACTACAAGACAACAGACTATAAAGCATCCATCAGAAGTGAATTGAATCCAACAAAATCACGGATCGTGTAAACGGACCCGGCTTTACATTCGTGCCATTGACATTTGTCTGTACTTATTTGAATTGTGTAAAACGTTAATGGACTTCTTGTTTATTTCAATGACATGCAAATGCTGTAATAATATACATAATGATCTACATAAATAACATAATAATATATTATTCATTATCATGTATATATAAACAATATTCAGCCGGTTTCCATTCTTCATTTCTGCCAGCAGAAAATATAGTGAGTCATTGTTAATTGTTACACTGGCGGTCAAAAAGAACTGCTGCGCTCAAAACAAGTTAAAATGCTCTCAAATGAACGTAACTGCCCCTCTAACAATATATACGAGTAAATATAGACTAGATTACATGCTAAGCTAAATGAAATATTAATATTTTGTTGACCCTCCTTTGGCCTTATAATTGATGACGGCCTCACACCGGCGTGGCATACTTTCTGTTAAGGTGGTAATCAAGTTCACGGTCAAAAGAAATTCATCCTATGGACAGTCTTCACAGCAACGCATAAATCATGGACGCTTTATGAATGAATTCCTTTCTTGCACTATCCCCTTGACATTGTCCCACAGATTTTCAATAGGGTTAAGATATTTTGACTGTGCAGGCCAATTCATTTCCGTCACTCCCTTTTCCTGAAACTATTGTTTGACTATATCTTGGAAGTGTGGCAGGTTGCATTACATTATTGAAATAGTGTTTGGAATAAGAATTTTGACCGCCAGTGTATTTTCCCGGACGTTTCCATGCATCACATATATCATGCGACAGGGAACTTTAATTCTCTTTGTAGCTAAACAATCTGTGTGAAAAAAAACAACACAAATGAGAGCAGGACCAGGTGAGAACTTCACATGCATTAGAAGTGCGCTGGAGGAGAGAGACATCTGCAGCTTTTTATAAAATCGTTTGAAAGATCCGATATGTATTGCCGGAAAGTTACATCACAGTGTGGTTGCATCATATATCACTGAGTTCGGTTCCTAAACGTCCAACACAGCGAGAAGCTACATGAAAATGAACATAAATCAAAGTTTTCATTGTGTTCAAAGAGGTTTATCTAGCAAACGAGTGATGCTATATGTTTCGTCAAAAATATTTAAGCTGATCTTCGAAAAGATAATTAAATAGCTGAATTTATATTAGAAGACGGATTTTCGTCTGGGACGCAAAACTCGACGCAGACGCGGGTAACTCGTCTTGATATAAATTCGGTAAACCATATAGGTTCTTCGCAGTGAAATTGGCTCTTCGTCTTAATTTCTCCGTCCAACTTTTCCGTTCAAACGACGGAGAAAATGGAGGAATTTCTTGTCTTTGACAGAAAACTCGTCCAAAATAAAAATAAAAGACTGGTAATTAAGCTTCGTGGTGTATATTGGGATACAAAATGTCGTCCATGCAAGAAGAGAGCACAAGTATCAAGACGAGTTACCCGACTGCATCGAGTTTTGCGTCGCAGACGGAAATCCGTCTTCTAATAAAATATAAAATGTGTTCTGCGTAATACATTTTTCATACTTACAAACTGCATGTGATATACAATTTAGGTCGTAAAATGGAATAATGCTAAAAAAGATCATACTATTCCAACTCGGTCAACAACGAAACACGTATTAGACGGAGATTATTTTTTTACGTAGACGTCGACGGAGATTACTTAACTGAAGAGTGTCTGAGTGAGGACATTGTTTGAATGTCAAGTATATGCAGGGGCGTAGAACAATATATAGTAGGCCGGCGGCGAGCGTAAAAATATTTTGAAATCTGATCGCTCATTTGCTCTAGATGTCCGGAAAAGCTATTTTAGGCTCAGGGGCAGGTTGCTCAAAAGCCATTTTTTAATCGCTCGTTTATGAAGTTGAACATGTTTCTCATAAATATTTTGTCATAGGCGTACGGTACAGGGGGGCACTTTCTCACCCCCCCCCCAAATTGCGAGAATCAAGACATTCGGTTAAAGTTTAGCCGAAAATTCGAGCAAACTAAAAAAGAGTTACATAGCTAAAAATTTCAAAACTAAATTTTGTAATATATATCACATAGCTATTTGTATTGTATTTGGCCATTTTTGTTTCACTTTCTTCTAAGCACATCCGGCGCTTTGCCAAGTTTATTGTTACAAAGCTGGTTAAAAGTTAAAATTCGGGCACATTGTATAATTCAAAAATTCGGGCGATTTGAATTCGATTTGAATTTCGTTTTGATATTTGACTCTTACTAAAACCTGTGTGTGCATCCTGGAACACGGATTGCAAGTGCTTAATATCATTAAATAATTTCACAATCCATTAATTACGAATTTGTTAACCGTCTGCGACTCGCGGCCATGCACCTGTCCCGATGCGTTTGGAAAGAAGCTTCATGCACTGGCAAGAATTAAACGAAAGACTTGAAACTCAATAAAACTTGTGTAAAATCAATAAAACTTGTGTAAAAAGTATAACGACGTTTGCCAATTGCAATTCTATACATTTACAAATTCATGCACGGAAAGATATTACAGAATAATGCATATTGCATGGTCGATAGATAATTCTACGAACATATCATATCTCAATCCAAATCGGATTTTACCAAAGCTAGTGAATTTTGTTAGAAATTATGAATCAAGACAAGAAAGGGATAATTTTCACAATCCACTTTTATTACGATTACTTAATCACTGTTATCACTATGTATATAGCATAGCTCTATCAATAGTTCTATTTTAACACATGCATGCAAATTTTGATACAAATTTTATGCCTGAAGGTCCTGAAGTGGAATTATTTTCATAAATTGACATTTATATTATACTATTACGTATATTTATAATTTACAGCGGAATCTTTTACAACTGCCAGAACGTCATTCAGTTTTCTGTTGTCAAACGACAGTTACAGTAATTCTACTGTATTTTTACTTTCAAATGAAACATATATATATATATATAAACATAATATTAGTGACAAGCGTTGCTTTTTCGTCGCCTTTACGTTGGATTTCGAGTGTTTAAGAGGTTCCTAAGGTATGTACGTCCTTCGCTTCTCAGTTCTCTATTGCCCCAAAAGAAAATAAGGCAGTTCACGGTTGAGTTTAAAATCACCAAAGCGTAGGACCACCTCCGAAGTGTGACCACTAGAGGGCAGGTCTTGAGTTCTAAGACGCTATGGCCTATCAGCAGAACGGCGGGCATGAAGCACACCAGGCTGGTTAAGACAACGAGGAAACAAGACTTGGCCATTTTCAACTCTTTGATTAATCGTGTTTTCGTGTTTCTGTTTTCCTGCCATGCTACGCCAGCGACATGGGCCCCGAGATTTCCGACCGTTCTCCTGCTGCGGACACGAAAAATGCTGGTGTATGTAAATATGAGAAACGCAAGGAACAGAATGGTATTTGCGACAAAGAGTGGCCTCCCTACTTTACTGTTAATGAAATTGGTACTGTACAAAAGCGTCTGAAAACAGCAAACAAAAGCGGTGTATTTTAACAGTTTTGCTTTCGTGATTTTTGCACGATGAACCAATGGATGGATGACGCCCATGTACCTTTCCAAACACATCGCGCACATTGTCGTCATGGAGTACAAGAGTAGGAGGAATCGAATACTTTTAAACGCATAAATGTAAACGCACGACAGCCTAGCAGCGAAATAAACGATCGACAACGTCAACGGGATTAGGATGGCTGCGTTTGCAAGGTCAACGATGATTTGGATGCTGATCGTGAAGTAGGCCACCTTTTCTTTAAGCTTGCGAGAGTTATAAATCGTGGCGACAGCGATCGCATTCAGAAATATGGTAAAAAGAAACACAGCAAGGAAGAGAACAGTCCAGCTTAGCGATGAATTCCAAGATGTAGAAAATCGGAGTACTATTTTTTCGTTTAAAATATAACAAGTTTTGATCAAGCTGGATTGGCCTGTCGCATTCATTTTTTGCCCTCTGTGTACGAGACTAGCGCACATTGGAATGGGTACATGAATTATGATCTATCCATCTATAAGTAGCGGTCTTATTTAAATTTTGCGAAAACACTTAGAAATGAAGATAAATAATAAATGGGGACAAGAATTGCAGGGCACGACAAAAGCTATAAAAATAATTGCGGTACGTGGGTTCACTTGTTTTTTTTTAAATATAGTTGTTGTTCATGTGATATTTCTGACAAAGTTAATATAGTTGTTTATAGTTGTTTGAGAAAATATCGTTCAGTTTCCCGGCTCACTACATAACTGTGTAAATTCATCTGATGTATATAATGTAATTCTTCATTATTGCTCTATAGCTTTTCTCACCAACTATATATAGACAGCAGTTTTTAGACTTTATCGAAAGCAGTTCAACGTAGTAGTCGTACTTCTCAAAGTGGTCCCCACCCATGCACAGTTTCACAACGGATGCAACTTTATATTAATAATTAGGGGCCGGCCAATGTTGTTTACCATGGTTGGATATAGCGGTATATTCACTGGATAGCGATTTTTTTAATAGTTTTTATATAAAATATTATAAAAGCCAAAAATACATGGTCTGTCAGTTTTGAAGCGATGCAATAACAAGCTACTGTATACTGGCATCTATATATCGCATTCCCTTTAAAAATGCTGTCCTATAGGTTGCTATACATGATGCTGTATACGTATTGATAACTAGTGCACGCCATGCATGAAAAGCGATTAGGACAAGCTTCTGTCCTAGCTTGCTTGGTTAAACCGGCTTGAATTAAGTTAAAGGCAAATTCATAAAGGCAGAGTGTTTTTTGGTGTTTATATATATGCAGTTGTCTATTTTCAGTTTCTCCTTTAGATCATAAGAAATTAGTCGACTGCAAATTGTCCATTCCTTAGTTTGTCAAAATGACTGTAAAATATTGCAGGAAGCAATCTGTAAAATACAGTTGGTTTTTCTTCTACCGCCACAAAATATTGACCAGAAATTGTAGATAATATTATAAATTGCACATTTTATATGAAGGACGATTGTAAGGGTTTTGATGTCGCAGAGAATCTTTCGAGAAAGTTTTGGAACCTCTTCAAAATGACATTAACAAGAATCCAAGTAAATTGCGAACTCATTAAAGACGTTATTAAAGTAATTAATTTTGACCTGATATTACGGCCATTTTTAGGCTTACAAATTCAATTACGATAATTTACATTCTTGTTTTTAAGAACATCTGTGAAATAATTATTCATCTATTGCCTTGGGTATAGACCAGTATAGCCTGTATAGGCCCCTGTTTGCTGCAGTAGTGAACAATATTTTTTTTCTTTGGGAACGGGCCCTTGTGTCACAGTGAAAAATGGTAGAATCTGTATCATTAAATTTTGTGATTGCGCTTGATGTAAAAATGATATCAACTCATAGGCAGCTGCAAATGCAATCTGTTACTTTTAGTTGTGTCTGTAAATTCTTGTGCGAGGAGCCCAAAAGCTCGCTTTGTTTATTCCAACGGTCTATATGTTCCTCTAAAAACGTCCTAGCCTAGGGCCGAGGACACCGAAAATTGCCAGACATATTTCATAAACATGTCACCGCAGAATGTATGCATTGTTCTTTAAAAAAATTAAAGGCAGTATTCTTTAGCGATGATCTAAGTTTAAGTTTGATTATCTGCATCGCGCATTGGCGACAAAAATATTCGCTTTCTGAACACGATTCTAGATCAACAATGCGTAACTTGCTAGATACGTTTCGGAAATGACACCATATATCATTGACATATACCGCTTATACATATACCGCTTATCATTGACATATACCCTGCCCTCTTTGCACAGCGAAATGAGAATACTTCATGTAAGCGACTTCACTAGAATTAAGAGACAGTCACGCCCGATTAGATTTTTTACAGAGGACCAAGGTTGTCAGAGACCAAGTCACAAAAATATGAAAACACACGTAATCAACCTCAGACAATCCATATGAGAAAACCTAGATCGGCGCATCCAATAGCGACAAATCTAGCCAATGAGAACACGAAATATATATGTACACCATTTTTGTACATCTGGACTACATATAGATCAGTGACACAACCAAGATGGCGACTCTCGCAGTTCGCAGTTTTTGTACACCTTCCTGAGCCCTATATTTAACCAAGATGGTGGCTCTTATACACTTTCCTGACTATAGATCAGTGACCCATCCGCCAATTGATGAGAATACTTAATAGAGAGCACCAAGATGGCGTCGAGAGCCAAATATAAATTAAAATGCGCAATCCAGGTTCGTTCTTATGGATGTCCAAGACAGATTGATTACGATTTTACAGATACGAATAATGATACGAATTACGACACGTAATGGGATCCACGACGACGAGAAGATAGCGGAAATCCATTTTGTGAAAGAGCAAACTTTTTGAAACACCAAATGAAGTGAGATAAATTTCAACAGAACAAAGAAAATAGTCCAGTTATGTGACCTTCCTTTATGTGACCTTGAATTTCCGACTGCATAAATTTCAGTAAAATACCGATCTATAAAATGAGTGTCCGCCATCTTTTCAGTGATCGTAAAGAGTATGTCTACGACATATCTATGTATTTTACAAACTATTTACAAGTTTGCCTGACATGTCTCAATACTCACAATAGTATGTGACTGTTCAAAAAGACTTTTTTAATACTTCAAAATCCAGTTTACGCTTCGTTAAATTTCGGTAACTGGGCTCGTGTGAACAACCCCTTACTGTCTGTTGAAATGGTAGGTATAGGAATTGACGGTAATCTACGGTCTGTTAATATATAGGTCGGTTTTGAGAATTGATGGGGTTGTTCTTGCGGTAGGTATAGGTGCTGAATGAAAATCTTCATAGGCGGTTTTGTACGGTAAATATATGTCGGATTTAAGGGCTGTCGGTTCGTGTAGTGAGTAGGTAATAAAAAGCTAATAAAATCTATGGCTTTTTCTTGAGTCAGTAGGTACTAAATTGAAATGTACATAGACTGTTTCGTATAGAAAGTGGCACTTGAGGAAAATCTGTTTAAGGACTCATAAGGAATACATATGGTAGGTACCTACTTTATATGGTAATCTATGGACTGTGTTTGTCGGTAGCTAATGGAAATCTATCGGTTATTCACGCGGTAGGTAGGTACCATTCACTGAATGTTAATCTTGTTTTGTATGGTAAGTAGGTAGCTACTTCACGGGAATCTATACACATGGGATTTTCATGTAGTAGGTATAGCTACGTATAGTGGAATGATTGGGCTGTTCTTAGGTTCGTAGGTCAGTAGGTGCGTACTTATAAGGAATCTATAGCCTATAGGCTCTCCTTGTGGTGCATAGATATTTAGTAGGTATACCTGATGCAAATCTATGGTTTGTAAATATGGTAGGTGGCTACTAAATAAAGGAATTCTCCGCTCATATTGGGATGCCAATATGAAAACGCGGTTCGTCAGCGTTTATCAGGATGGAAGAAAATCTGACGGAAACGATCTCTTAGTCACTCTCTTTAACATACAACTAAGACTGCAGAATTCCTTTCAGACAGGCGGCGTCGAGTCTGTGCCAAAATAACGGTCACCAAAGTTACCTAAAGGCAAGGGAAAAGCTTAGCTCGGTTCTACTACGACCATGAGGTTCACCACCACCTAGCACCTAGGAGACCGCGCGTGTTAACTTGTAATATTTTAGTATTTTCTGACAGGAAAAACAAAACACTTTTGAGAAAATGAATAATTCTACCTATGTAATTTCATGCAGAACTAATGTGAGAAAAACAAAGAGAAATTCCGCTCCGCGCGCGAAAGGCTCCGCCTAGTGGAAAGTCGCCCTTAGACTTGCAGACTTAACGTAATGCTAGATCTAAACAAGTTATTCACGTTAATTAAACAACACTTACCAACACCGGGAAGAATATGAAACGATTCATTTAATTCCGGATCAACGGCACCAGTTACAATCCTTACTTTAGGAAAAGCGTACGCGACAGAACGAACACCTGAAAGTAACGAACTTTCATTTAAAACGCGCTGGACATGAATGAAAATTTCTACTCGGAGCGATCATTGAGAAGGGGTAGGCGGACGACAACTTTTTCCAGAGATAAGGGCGGGGGGGGGGGGGGGAGTGTGTGTGTGTTGAGAAGACGATTTCCACCTTGATTTCCTATGGCGCAAGGAGTTCATCAACAACTGGGATTTCCAAGCAGCTTTTCAGAGCTTTTTCAGCTCTAAGGTATTACCGTAAGGTATTAAGGTAGATATAGTATCACCATGGATAGTTAAAAGACTTTACGTGATTTTACTATCCATGGTATCATGGTATCTTCTTTGACGAGAAAATTTTTTCAAAGCACTTCGTTCATCATTGATCACCGGCAATGGCCATCGCTGAGCGTCGGCGACATATACAGTATGAGAAACAAGCCTATAGTAGTTCGGGTCTGCGCGTTTTCGTGAATGTCGTCTAGATATTACAAGAAGCTTAAAATTCCGATACCTTATAGCCATATAACGTAATTGCCAATTACCGCAAAACAAAACCTAATCACATTAATTTGAAGGGGTCGATTTATTTTTCAATTATCTTGAGAGCAACAGGGGCTTAAGAGCATTCAAGATAAGGGAGAGGAAATGAAACCCGTACCTGTTTCCGCAGCAATCAGCGACACAAATAATATATTTTCTTCTTTTACATCGTGATCCTGAAATCAATATTATTTTCTTAGTTGTTCAAAGGCGGTTTTCAACAAGTTAGAATTCATCAGAATTCGTTCAAGATCTTTGCATGATCTTTTATTCAATTGCGAGGATGAAAATAAAATAAAGCGAATTTCGATCGATCAAAAAATTGCGCCTAGGAGAAAAATCTCTTTATCCGTACTTCAATACTTGCCACTGAAAAAAAATGCAGATTTAATGAGCAAATTTATTTCTTACCAAAAGAACTCGAATTGCCATCAAAGCTAGAAAAGATACAGTATAAGTTGATATATTTAAAAAACGACTGATCCAGTCCGTATAATTCCGTACAATGTCCGTATAGGCCGTATAAAACCGTACAATGGCTTAGTGCCTTAGTCCACGTGCGTCGTTATTTAATGGCAAATAAAACACAAGAATTTACTGCATGTTTGCCCGCTGCAAGTGCCTTATGTAATTAATACGCTTTTGCTTTGATTTCAATCTATCAGATTTAAGCAGGCGCAGCCAAGAGGTTTTTGGGACGAGCAGAATGAAGGCTACGTACGACTGAAATCACACATGACGGAAAAAAAGCGCGACGAAAGAGGAAGAACGTCGAATTCTCATTTCAAAAATATTACCTGCAGCGCCACTCGCCAGCGTAGCGTCCAATAAGATCACGTGGTCATTTTGTATGTCACGTGGCAGTCGTAGAAAGTGCAGCTGAAAACATAAAGGTCAGAGTAAAAATAAAGACCATACATAATAAAAACCATAAACCAAGAAGGTTCTTTAAGGGGTGTTGGGAAGCGCCATATGTTCTCTGTAATACTAAGATTCCCGTCTAGTAACCGAGTGATCCCAAGTGGCGGGAAAAGACTAGGACTAGCTGTCAAATAAAAATCCATTTCTTGGTTGAAACAACTTAATATTTCTTAAAATATACTTCATTTCGGTTTTAAATTTATGTTAGAGCTGCAGTTCGCTATAATTTATGTAGATTAGATAGTAGTACTATCAACAAGCTGTAGTTCACTATAATTTATGTTAGAGCTATAGTTCGCTATAATTTATGTTAGAGCTATAGTTCGCTATAATTTATGTTAGAGCTATAGTTCGCTATAATTTATGTTAGAGCTATAGTTCGCTATAATTTATGTTAGAGCTGTAGTTCACTATAATTTATGTTAGAGCTATAGTTCGCTATAATTTATGTTAGAGCTATAGTTCGCTATAATTTATGTTAGAGCTATAGTTCGCTATAATTTATGTTAGAGCTATAGTTCGCTATAATTTATGTTAGAGCTGTAGTTCACTATAATTTATGTTAGAGCTATAGTTCGCTATAATTTATGTTAGAGCTGTAGTTCGCGATAATTTATGTTAAAGCTATAGTTCGCTATAATTTATGTTAGAGCTGTAGTTCGCTATAATTTATGTTAGAGCTATAGTTCGCTATAATTTATGTTAGAGCTATAGTTCGCGATAATTTATGTTAGAGCTATAGTTCGCTATAATTTATGTTAGAGCTATAGTTCGCTATAATTTATGTTAGAGCTATAGTTCGCTATAATTTATGTTAGAGCTATAGTTCGCTATAATTTATGTTAGAGCTATAGTTCGCTATAATTTATGTTAGAGCTGTAGTTCACTATAATTATGTTAGAGCTATAGTTCGCTATAATTTATGTTAGAGCTGTAGTTCGCGATAATTTATGTTAAAGCTATAGTTCGCTATAATTTATGTTAGAGCTGTAGTTCGCTATAATTTATGTTAGAGCTATAGTTCGCTATAATTTATGTTAGAGCTATAGTTCGCGATAATTTATGTTAGAGCTATAGTTCGCTATAATTTATGTTAGAGCTATACAAATAAATATAATAACAACATTTTGAGTAGTTTCATAAAGAATAACAAAAGCTAACGAAACCTTTCTGACCGTTGATTGGCTAAAATATGAGTACGAGATCACATGGAGATCTTTGGTAGATATATATCTTGACAGAAAAGTGCAATAGGAAACTCTCCTACCTCTGGTTCGTCTGTATATTCATTCGTTTGAATTAGAATCTTTCCAATACGAACATCTTTACAAACGGACTCCAACGCTGGCTCCATCGTCTCGCCGGCTCGCAAAATAGACACGCCACAAATCTAACGAAACAATCGTATGAGATCGTAAGAAATCGGTAATTCCGAAGACCCAACCCGGCCATTAGCTGGCAGGCAACACTACCCGCATTATGAGGTCGACAATTTTACAATTTCACTAATTTCAATTTGCTCTTTCTGGAAGTAATGATTTGTACCCATCTTCGCCATCATCTAACAAAGAAGGCTTCGTCGTGATCTATTTTACACTCCCGGTATGAGGATATAACAGCGCTTTTTTAATAAATCGTTCTTGGGGAGGTGGGGGGAGGGGTTCAAATGAACAGAAGGGAGCTAAAAGTGGTAATTTAAAGATCTGGGGAGTTGGAGTGGGGTGTATTTTTGGTAGAATTTTGAGGACAATTACTGATGTGTTCTAAATGGAGCGAGGTTTGCTTAGAGATCTTCACTGGAGGAGAGGGCGGAGTAATTCATGGGGGACATGGGGAGTGTAAGGGAAACAGGGAGAGGGGCATCTCCTCTGAAACTTATCTGATAAAAGGTTGTGATATATTAAATACAACACTTCTCTTACCCTTTCTCCTGCAAATCTCTTTCCACGATACTTCGTTGTAAGCTCATACTCCTGAAATATCAACAGTGATATTAGACGCACGTGTGGAATTGAATTAAAGTGCCCACTACCCAGTGATGCATCATCCAGTCTTTGATTTGAGATCAGCGGACAAAGATTTGGAAATATTACCTCGAACGGTAGAAAGGAGAGCGCGTACTCAATAACAATCCTCATCAACCTCTTGGAGAAAAATACGAAGTCATCCCTTTTCGTTTCCTTGTCTCTACAACAGAGGTTCAAACGTGGCTATAAGGGTGCTTTCCTTTACACGATAAAAATGGCCAAACTGGTGCGGTACAACATAGCACTTGTATTTTAGGATGTTTAAAACCGTATTCAAGTATATCGTTAGCATTCTAGCGCGAAAAATGCAGTTTCACGTCACAGGGGGCCGAAAACCCGAGGTTGACAGTTTCACTGCTTAATTTAACTAAATATTCTATTTCAAATTAAAATACGGCCGGTTTGACCATTTTGGGCGCTGAAAGGAAAGCTTCCTAAGTACTTCCTAAGGACAAATAATAGTAAAATTTTAATCGTTTCTAAAATTATACCAGCCTATATTTGATACCTGATTATTGTCTGTACGCCCCTGACCTGGGGCGTCGCTTCAACCACGTTTAAACTATCCGGTAGCCGCTGTCCTTGGTGAGCCGAGATTAGCTGAGCCCTGGCAAAATAGCGTAAGTATTAAGAAGGAACAATGGTGTATTTCTTGATAACCACTCAAAACACTAAACACTGAAAAATATGTTGGAAAATGAAGCGTTTAGGCGGTTTTCTTTTCGCTCGTGACAGGAAAATGTTCCATGGCATAAACAATGGTTGAAAACAGGCTCTTTTCTGGTAAATCGAGTCGAAGCATTTATGATGAGTTGAGCATGCGAGGTAAACGTTCAGCCACATTGAAGGCTCATTGTGATAACATAAAGCCATAATTTCAGATTGGTATGAAAAATTCCTAGACTCAGAATATTGACCAAAACATGTCGTATCAATTTTCGTATTATTTTTGTACCAATATAAAAAACCTTTAAAAGGCTGTGACACAAAGACCTAAGGTGCATGTAATGCCCCAAATCTAACACTCATTCCAGTGATATATAATCAAGTCAAAATACGAGCTGATCTCGTACTCTGAGCGAGCTTTCAAAATACACATGCATATTTGCATACGAGAAATTTAGAAACAATTTTGTCAAAGCTGCTTACCTTAGAGAAAATCCTCTCTGTAGTGAAAAACAAGAAGAGAGAAAAATGCTTAATTTTATTTAATTAAACAGACATCGACGCTATAGACATCTAAAATTGCCTCACATGCGTTGAAATTATTAAGACCTGTCCTTTTTTCAAACTAATAAAGTATATCCTGCATGTTTAGAAATGTTTGCTGGCCTGATCTCCAGAGTATTCGCACAAAATATTGGTGTAATTCTACAGGTTGAATTGCTAATGCGTTTAGAGTATGCGAGCATACCGGAGTATTATAGAAAGGACAAACATTCGCTTTTATGTTAAGTTACTCCGATGAAGAACCTGCACAACTTGAGACGTGATAAAACAGTGAGAAACGAAATGTAAACATGGGTGTGCATTGCATGCGGTTAGTGTTAAGATTATGGCCTGGATTAGGTTTAGGATTAAGATTAACTTTGGTAATAATAAATTTATCAAATCCACAGACTGAAAGACAGCATTAATCTTAACGGAAATTCATTATCGATGCATAAAGTTAATAGAGAATTGGCAATAAAAATCTGAAGACGAACCTCGAGTAACTGTTGCTTCACATGTCGAACGATCATATTTATTGCAACTACGTTCTCACCACCTGCGTGAAAGACAGAAATGTTTGTTTAGACGGGTGAAAATAAAGTGCACTCAATCAATACCCTGTTTAATTACACTACAGCGGATTCACATGGTCATGATCACGACATCAGTTTAAGTTGTTTTAGGGTATCTCTGTCCCCAGAACTTTTCATTTAGCATGCAGATCATGTTAAAGGAAACATGCTATCATAGGTTTGCAAGCAATCATGGCTAATTTTGATATCACGACCATGCGAATCCGGTATAGCGAAACCAGGGTCTGATTCAAACATTATGCAAGTTGTGCATGGGCAAGACACAGCCAAGACACAGCGAGCACAATTACCTCGTGGTACCACAATATCAGCACAGATCATACTCGGCGCGATGTATTTTTCGAATGACTGTGAATAAAAAAATATTTACATCAGTGACATTTAGCTACTTACGAAGTGACGGAAATCCATGCATCCACAACTTATTATTATGCATGCAAGTTAAGCCAGGCGCACACGACGCGATTTTTGTCGTACGATTTTTCCCGCCAAATATTAATCGGCAAATATCAAATTGTTTTGATATATTCCGATTGCAGTTTGCCGACTAAAATGGTAAGACAATTAAAAATCGCGTTGTGTGCGCCTGGCTATAGTATATACTATATATAAGCTGATATCTATTACATCAGCCACATTGACGTATTCACGACAATTACGACTACATGAAAACCATGAAGACTTTATTCCACACTATTATAACAACACTCACAGGTTTAACGAAAGTATTATACTGTTTTAGAACACCATTGAGTTCACGACCACGTTCCGAAATATCACGTTTTAGCCTGTAAAAAAAACATAAAATAGACCAATAAATAAGATTCTTAGCTGGGAAAATTTACCAGCATTGTGTTGTACAGTAAGGTTACATATATAGTAAAAATTATAGTAAGTTTTACTATAAATTTAGTAAAACTGGAACCGGGAACGTTTCGTTTTGAAATATTGCAAAATTTGAATGGAAAATGCAGGGGTTCCATGCAGGAGTCTTTCGTGTACGGTACAAATGAAGTCGGTTGACTAAACATATAATGCTAGGGTTAGGGTTAGCGTTACGGGGCGTTAAAAGTTTTTATTTTCGATTTTGTTTTCCATTGTACAGTAGAGTATTAAACAATTGCTTTAGGTTTTCCGTGTTTGAATGGACTGATCCAAATACGCGGGAATGTTGCGAAAGTTAAGAAAAGCGCGCGAAACCCGAGTGCCGAAAGCGAGTGACTTTGCGAACTTTTCTTAACTCAAGCAACATTTCTATGGATGGCCTGATCCAAACACGCGGGAATGTTGCGAGACTTAAGAAAAGCGCGCGAATTGTTTCATAAAAAAACAACGACAAGGCCTGAATTTAAATCTAAATTCTTTAAAGTTCCGTGTTTGGATGGCCTGATCCAAACACGTGCTTCGACCAATCAGAACACGCGTTACATGCATGTTATTTTATAATATAAGCTACCACTTGTTTATACGCAAATCTTAAAACCTTTCCCAGGCAATACTTAATAAAATGCATGTTGCAGGCAATTATATTACCTTCGAGCTAGCCTAACATCAGCATCTGTATCAACAAAGATTTTTGTGTCCATTAACTGGAAAAGATAATTGTTTTAAGTTGCGAGTTTAGCATTGAAACAAATCTAGTAGATTCAGCGATGATCTGAACGCGTAGTTTTATTTTTATGAAGTTTTTTATTCAAAAACTAAAACACTCGAAGAACTCATATGCCATGAACTACATCTGGAATACAATTCTGGAATAACGTCGCATATTTTTCGCAATTTCTCGCATGTCACGTGACATTGTGAAAAATGGCGGGAAAATTGATGTTGTCATCACTGAACTCAAAGCTCAACTGGACTAAGTTTTATTAGTTTAAAAAGTATTTATTGAGAGTCCTATGCTTTAACATTGAAATTTTGAAGTAAATTATTTAGACGAAATTAATGAATTTATCTTCTAGTCCCAAAAAGATATCTTAACTGTTTGAGGTTCTCAACATAAAAATTAAAATCGATATCTCCTTGTAATTGTGAAATATCTTATATTCTATAATAATTCAAATTTCAAACCTTGCATAATTCGTCATTACAAAATGCCATGATTCCCTCAAATATGATAACATTTGCACCATACATTGTGTTCTGATAAAAGCAAGTAAAATATCCTTGAATGGAGGGGACAACAGTAAAATCAATTTTAGTATACTGCTAGCTGATACACAATCGAAAATTTTTTGAAATTATGTTTGTGTAAAAGCTAGGATTCTGCCAAATTGCAGTTGAATGAACATTAGAAACCATAAATCATTTTTCCGGAGTTGTATACTACAAAAAGAGCATCCTGCTACAAATGGTATTCGTTAAACTAAATTTTTTGCACAGTAGCACAAATATTATGTATGTGGTGTGAATGTTCACAGTAAAACCTTAATTCATGATAATTATAATGATCAGGTTACCTGTACATCTTTTAACCTCTGGTGAGTTTTAAAATCATATACTGGAACCTGAAAAAGAGACACCAGAAGATAATAACTACCTAGGATATGCATTAGCCTCAACAGCCCAAAAAATCTCTAACCAAATGTCTATGATCCATTCATTATAACAAAAATCTCTTCATACAAGAACACACCTCAACACTTTTTCCTTCCTTTAATTTCTTTAACGTTTCAATGGCAACATCAAAATCAAAAGAATCTAGATGTACCAGGATACAAATGTTTTATATTTCTCTCTGTTCTAGGTCTTCAGAAGTTCATTAATTCTGGCTTAATTATTGATAGGTCATAGAAAAAGTTGTTATATCGATTGTATTGTAATAGATCAGTACTCATACCTGGTTCATCAAAGTTATATTTATTTTGCACGGCTTGTTCATGCTGCTCATCTGTGAGTACCTGTTAACAAAAGTTCTTCAAAGGTTACTACATATGATCATTGCATATCTAAGTGCCCAATTACAATGGTACATGACACTGTCACATTAAACTTCAAGTGAGTGCATTAGTGCATCATACTGGTCCTGTGTATAAATTTCATCCACTACCTTATAAAAAGAATCCATTGAAAGTAAGCAAACCCATGGTACACCAAGGTCTTCAATAATTTTCTTCGCAACAGTAGTTTTTCCACTCGCACTTCCACCACAAATACCTTCAAAGATTAATTGCATAGCGGTATATAAGTTAGCACTTAGCAAGCACTTCACATAAGCTGCCAATATACTAGTTCCAGTTTATGATTATATATTAGACGGATGCTTATGAATTTGTATGTCAGTTAAAAACTGTGACTGGTGAAAAAGCTACAATGCCCAATCTAAAGGGAGGCTTACCAATCACAAATGCTTCTTTTAGCTGTCCTTGTGAATTGTACCATGGCGGACGACCTAAAAACAGTAGGAAAATAGGATGTCATTCCTTAATTCCCAATGAATTTAGGAACCTTTGTATGGAGTCCATCCAGTAGAAACAGTAAATATTTAATTGGAATTAGTGACAGGATTTGTGGTTGCCAATCGGCTGGATTACGTATTCTAGATTTAACTTAAAATGTAGTTAAAAGTTTTATATGACCAAGCTCAAAAACACCAAAGCTCCACTACATAATGACTGAGAACTTGGGTTTCATATTTTTTCATTGACAGTATGCAGGTGTTATAAAAATCTAGGTATAGACAGTGCCCTGGTATGGAGTTGCTTGGTGACTATTTTGATCTAAAAAACTAAATGAATTAATACAATGGCTTTCGACTAATTTAAATAAAGGCCATATTTTATATGCAGGATGTATACACACACTGTATAACATAGAATAACACCTATGTTTGAATAAGATATAATTTGAAAAAACATTTATATTCTCGTTTAAAACATTTGACTTAATCCGCATTCCATCATTTAGCAAAACACTCGAAGATAGTCTTCAAGGGCAAAGAATTTCTTAATTGTTATTTTATGTTTATTTACTTCTTGCCAGTAGTTATCTTGCTCAGAAAATAAGGTCATATGCGAAACTATCACACTATCAGTATTCAGAACACGACTTTTCACCCCCCAACTACCCGTTGATCCAAATACCATATACAAAACTTCGGTGCCTTAACAGTCAATTGGAATTTTTAAAAATTTCGTCAAATAAAACACTGTTTATATAAAATAAATATAACACAATATGCATAAAAAATAACACAATATACCTGCAGTATAAATTGTCCTATTCCCATGTCTCCAAACCTTATCCCTTCGCCCCTTGCCAAGGCTTTTACATTTAGGCGAACCTGGGGCTAATCTATAATATATGGAAGAATAGAATTGCACATCACATCTCAAAAACGCGAATGAATGAAGTTGATTCTATAGCAGCGCTTGTTCATACTAAAGTTGCGCCAATTTGAGCGGAATTGCATTGCGATTAACTAGATCACATCGTAGATCACATTTCACAAAGATTTTACCTGTTCAAATTCTCGTCCGATGAATTGGATTTGAATGATGTGTCTAAAGCTTCGATGCCGTTTTCTTCGGCCATTTTTTGCACGTGTAATGCCATGCACACCAAGTTCTTAGGCGATCGGATTTCAGGTGATGTTATTGGCGTGATTCAGGCGGCGTCTTGGCGATGTTAATTAAAATGGAATTTTGCATAATAGACCAGCTACCAGCTTACGATCTAGGTAATAAGAAGAAAATAAATCACCACAGCCAAAACGAGCATACCGAAATTGATAAAATTGCCAAGTTTGGCTGCAAACTGTCAAGTGTTACGGAAAATATAGTCATGCAAAGTAGCCAATGGGCTAAATTTTCCGTACTTTACAATATCTTGCAGCCAAACTTGGTAATTTTACTAAATTTAGTATGCACTTTTGGGAAATTTCCATTCCAAAATTCCCATTAATGCTGCGGCGGTATGGAAAAACCCACTGACCAGCAACCTCGTACCCAGGGTCCAGTTGCTTTTATGAAAAATAGCAAATCTAGAAGGTGGTTATCACCCACCCAGAGGGCAGAGGTTACATTCACGACCCAACTTTTCGACACTCCACTCGAGGGTCTTCATCGGGGGTGTTCTCATGTTGAAACTTTGATTTACGTCCGATATATCTTATAGAATACCTACATTGCTTGAACATTGTCAGACGCGCATGTCGCCCGCTGAATGCAATAGGATTTTTGTATATTGGCAATATATAAATGAGTAAAATGACACATGTTTAAAAGTAACGATAGCTTTTCAATTTTCACTTCAAATTAAAACCATTTGCTCTTGGGCCGTCTATGGCCAAACGAAAATGACGTCATGTCATTTTGGCGGATGGAAACAAGTGACTGGCGAACAAAACGTGTCTCTAATGGTCTCTAAAATTTGACAAAACTTATAACATTTTGTGGATAATTTTGATTTTTACAGATAAAATATGGTATGTGTTGATATCATCTGTGGTCTCGTTTACGAGTTAAATGTATTTCATATTGGTTTTTCTCCTTGCAATGCTTTAATACATAAATACAATTTATACAATATTATTTGCCATTTTATCTGAGGATATTTTTCAATTGACTGGTCAGAGGCGTGTGTTATGTAGGGGACAGCGCTGTGCTCTTTACTACCATATAGCATTAATAGCATTTTCATACGTTCAGTATTTATGTACTTCAGGTTTAGGCCTGCTCTCTGTGTGGTTGCTGTGGGTAAAACGAGTGTACCCTTTTAAAGTTTGCCTTGTTGCTCTGACCTGCTTCCTTTTTAACCCATTCAACTGATCACTGGTGCCAATTGCGAATAAGAAAAGCATCAAAATAGGACATATCTACAGGGACAATTAGTTGTTAAATGTGGTTATTATAGTATTATAAACTCAAGTTGATTAATTTGTATGGTGTACTTTGAAAGAACCAAATGAGAAAAAATGCCTGACTACCGAGGGAATTGAACCTGCAACCTTTAGTTTACCAGTCTATTGCTCTACCAACTGAGCTACACCTACATGGTCAATTTGGTTAGATAATTACACTGAACATGACATATAGTTTTGTTATTATCAGTTAGTATGTGCACCAGCTATATTTTTACTGATAATCAGCCCTGGAGGTCAACCACCTGAAAGCTTGAAAGTAATAAACATATGGTGACTGGATACAAATTGATGATTATATCGTTACTCTTATTTTATATAAAAAACCTGTATTTTAAATATCAAAATCTTTATCTGAATTCAAATTCATGTATATGTGATCAAATAAACATCCTCATTTTAGAGGCCCATAGCTCTCCATGGCCATGAACGGTCCGTAACACACATAAAATATAATCGAGATGGTGACTTGTTATTCTCGTCAGCAAAAGATAACTCCCCCTCAGTGTGGTATTCAATAAATGGTGAAAGATTAGGCACATATAAGGGTCATGGTGGTGCTGTATGGTGCATTGATGTGGACTGTATCCTTTTATGTCTCTATAAATAAAAGCAACTTTGATACAGGTCTTGAAATCATATTTTGGGCATATAGATTTTCAAGTAAAATTTTAAAGTAATTTGACTATTTAACTACATTTTAGTTTTAAGGTCTACCACATATATTAACTGGCAAATTATCATTCAAAGCTGTTATCTTAGGCTTTATTTGTACATTTGAAAAACCGAAAGCTGTGTGGCAATAAAATATAAATGGTGTACAAAAAACTCAAAACTCAAAATAATGTTATACACTATATTTGTTTCCCTCTCAAACAAAGGTCAGGAAAATGTTGAATTGGGGAAGAAGATGTCTGATCAAATTCATTCTTTATCAGTTTGATAGAGCATTCTATAAAAAATTCTGTTTGCTCTTCTAAGACCATAACAGCTAGGAATCAGACCCCCCCCCCCTTTTCCCCAGTTATCCTTAACTGCTTCATCAGGGACAACAAGCAAAGTTATAACCGGGTCAGCAGATAACAGTTTAAGAATGTGGGATACAGAAACGGGGACACAGCTGGGCAAATATGACACAAGGTCTGCTGTGCGGACATGTGCATTCTCGTACTGTGGCAACAGGATAATGTTTTCTACAGACAAGCAGATGGGCCATGCTTGTGAAATATTCTTTTGCGATATCAGGGATTCAGCACAAATGGGTAAGGGATTTGAATACACAGCTCATACAATATGCATATAGCATTGTTATTGCAACAGTCACATAAATATGGCTAGCTTTTTATCTTTTTGAGCATTTTACTGTATCATAAATACATCATATCACTTTCTGTGTGCTGTATCAATGTTTGCACTTCCTGCAGTAAAATGGATTTTTCCTGATGTTCCAGGTCATAACAGTTCATACCTCAGTATACCAGTGGATGGTCCTAAAGTAACCTCAGCAATATGGGGTCCCTTAGATTACTATATAATCGCTGGACATGAGAATGGGACAGTCTGCCAATGGGATTCAAAGGTAGTGGAACTATTTTTCTAAGTTCCTGTCAATCATTCTACAGGGTGTCCCAGTAAAATTGGAACCCACATCACCATTATTTTTTACACTAGTTTAAAACTTATCAAAGATATGCCTCTGAGAGTCCACATGTTTTGAATTCATAGCTTGAGGCATAGCTTTGTTAAGTTTGAAACTAGTGTGAAAAAATAACCATGTCAGTGTGAATAATTTTAGTGAATACATAATGAATTAATTGAGGTTCCGGTTTTACTGGGACACCCTGTATTACACCCTAATTCCTAAATTTATACTTATCTTTGATTCCTTTAAAGAGCGGCCAACGTCTGCTAAATGTTGAAGGTCATACTAAAGCAGTGAATGATATTCAACCATACCATGATACAACCATGTTCGTGACAGCATCTAAAGACAACACAGCAAAGGTGGTCCTTCATGATTGTCTCTTTATCCTGCCTCACAATGGCAAACACTTTCTGTAGCAATGAAAAGTACAACATGAAGCTATCAACTTGTTTTTTTTTGCAGCTTTTTGATTCAGATAGCCTGGAACACTTGAAAACATACAAAACGGAAAGGCCGGTTAATTCAGCGTCTCTCTCCTCGTTAAAACATCACGTAAGTGGAAATTTTATTGCACATCATGCCCCAGACCTGTAGAGGAACTGCCTTCTACAGAGGTGGTTTTGCTCTTATCTTGGTTAATTTTGCAGAAAAATTGTATCCAAAAACATCGTATTTTTATCGCGGGAAGTAAATAATTTCAGTTGCTTAGTTTGAAAACAAAAAGCAAGATGACAGATTAGAAGTATTACGACTTCACGGCTAGGTAGCCCAAGAATAGCGATAAGTTGCAAAAAAGCTGCGGGTACGCGGGTCCCACCCGGAGGAAGGTTTGCTTTGAATCAGGTTTGTGAGGAAGGTTCAAAGTTAAACACTCTGATCACATGCATGTACCAAAAAACCAAATTTTTTTATGCTGGTTGCCACTTGACTCAGTGACGCGTAACGTCATTTTGAGGAAGGTTTTCAAAACTTGAAATCCCACCGGAGGAAGGTTGAACTCTTTGCAACTCTATTGAGATCAGTGTTTAGACAGACAGGGGAATTACCAGGGAATTATGGGAATGTCTCAGTCACTGATCTCAAAACTTCACTGGGATTGTTTTTTAACAAAAGGTGGTCCTGGGTGGTGGTCAAGAGGCGATGGACGTGACGACGACGTCGACGAGGATAGGGAAATTTGATGCTCGATTTTTTCACATGGTGTTTGAAGAAGAAATTGGACGCGTCAAAGGTCATTTTGGGCCGATAAACAGCGTGGCATTTCACCCCGATGGCAAAAGGTTAGAAGCAATTTTCATCAATGCTGTGTCCGGCTCCCCGTTTTTTCAGTAATAACATCGTTCAACGGTTCTACCCCGCTTGGTCCCACTCTGCCCCATGAGATGCACCCGTGCACCCAACCACCGAAACTAACTTTATCTTTCTTTCAACAGTTACAGTAGCGGAGGTGAAGACGGCTACGTCAGATTGCACCAGTTCGACCCGTCGTATTTTGAATACGAATTCGAGTATTAGCTATCACTGTATATGTAATGAATAAATAAAAAAAACTATAAAACATATTGTCTTGTGTCTTATTTACCTCCGCTGTTATAATAGGGTTATTAAAACGAAGAAAATTAGTCGCGACTTAAATAAGACGCGACCTTGTTGTATGAACTGACAGGCTTGCCAGGCTCGTATAAACGGACAGCTCGCGTCTTATTTAAGTCGCGACTTATTTTCCCTCGTATATAAATGGCCCCAATTGTGTACCATGTGTATGTAACCATTAATTTGTAGCTACCATGCAATATTCCTAAAATCAGTGAACTGATTCAAATTACATCATCTTTCGTATGATTTTTTGACCATTCCTCTTTCAATGACCAATAAATCAGTACTGGAATAAATTATCCAACGGATAAGTCCGATCCATATGATAAAACTGCGGATAGTTGTTATTCATTGAATAAAAACGCGTTGTACGAAGCATATAGGAAGTGAAGTAGATAGCTATCCAATGGATAAGCTAAAATTTATCCCGAGAAAAAAGATTTTCCTGAAATTTCGTACCACAACATCAGCCGTTGCTAGGCATTTATAACAATGAATTCATAAAACATATCATTTTTCTGCGAGTGGAAATCCAGCCAAATAACAAAAAATAAGGTCCACACAGTGTTGAGTTTCAGATTTTCTTTTATTGAATAATGATTTTTCTACGTACACTTACTACGTACGTATTTGTTGGCCGGTTGTATGAAAGCTGGATAGCGTTATCCACCGGATAGTGATTTTTTTCAACCGTTCTAAAAATGCTCGAAAAGCGATAAAATTTCATCTTCGGGACCAACAATTATTAAAGAGAATCCTCGATTTACTGGAACACTAAGATTTAATCAAAATCATAGCAAACAATGATTTTAAAGCGATTGAAAAAGACGCTATCCCGATTCCCGTAGATAGCGCTATCCGACTTTCATACAACCTGCCCCTGTTGGCTATACTTATCTGTTGGTAAAGTACATGACCACCCAAAAAAAAAGACCTACGGCAAAGATAAAAATACACGATACAATTAAGGTATCTATTGTCGACTTCGAGTGATACCAAAACACACTTAAGATAATGGTACAAATGGAGGACAAGGCCACGAGAAACCAGGCGGAGTTATTTCTCTGTGACACCAAGCCGGAGTAGGTTGTAGAGACTTCCTTCATGGCCCATGCTATGCATGGAATCACGTAGCAAACGAGTAACTTTTGGACCGTTACAGCGACGATGATCGAGACGATTAAGGATACAGCTGCAACGAGGATTTTATTAAACGTATCTTGTTCCATGTCTTTGCCCGTCGCGTCATTGTGAAGAATATTGGCAAATCGTACGAGCGCATATGTCAGAAAAGCCAATTCCAGAACGCCCATACTGCAGTATTCAACCACAGAAACGATATCGCTTTGAGTTATGCTCAATCGGAGATAATGAGACAAGAAAAAGCCGCACAGCACACCGATTAATACTACAATATCCATTCCCGTAACTATCCTTTTCACGCAATCGTCCACGCTGTCCAATATCTTAGCTCCCCTTGGAAGAATCTCTGTGGTGATTGCCGTCTCCACTTTTTCCACTCGCACGTGTAATTGGTCTAGAAAATTCGACACGTTACTTACTATTGATCCAAGATGCCGGTTCAAGTCTCCTCTCATTCCTTTTACTTGTTCTTCAACTATTCTGACTCCTTTTTCCGTGTTGTCAGACATCACCTTTAAAAATTTACCCACGTTTTCACCCATCTCTTCCATTTGCTTTCTCGAATCGTCCGTAAATCGCGTCATTTGTTGACCAATTTCTTTAACTGCGTTTCTTGTGCTGTCTGCAACAGCGCCCTGAATTTGATGGAATCTGGGAACTCTAACTCGTTTGACGCATGGCATAACATGTGTACAAGAACAGATCAGCAAAAGCAACTGGATAAAAGTATCCTTCTTCATTATTCTGTTACTGAACCCTGGTAATATTTGTAAAAATACTTTGAGTTTAACTGAATCTAGAAATTTCAAAAATGCTGCCTACAAGAACCTATACTGTTTATAGCAGTTGTGCATTGCATTGGGAAATATTATAGCTATTATATATTACCGGGCGTTTTTTATTGTCATACCCAGACCCACGCTATGCGTTGCTCTTCGTCAGGATCTCAGGTATCACTCGACCCTAGATTTCGGTGTTCTAAGACTAAGGTTTTTGTGGCTTGATTTTCTTTTCGTATAGGCATTCGTTCTCATTCGTTAAACGACAATTTTATACTCTGACTATAACCGCAAAGTGTAATATATGGACTATAGGCTTATATATGTATTATTGTATTTGCATTCTGAAAAGTGGATGTTCCGTATGCACATTTAGATTGCTTAACAAAAAACCCACAGAATTTTGGGTTTAAGATATTTATTACTAAAGTCTATTACATCAGTTCACCAATACTGTTGCCAGAGACGTTATTATTTTTATTATTATTATTAATAATTATAACATGGCTTTACTAAAAGCACTATGACTGTGAGTCTATGACTATGTCGGGCTTTAATATTTATCTTCTGAAAAATTTATATTCACTAATATAATATTATGTTGATCGTGACAGGCAAACTCAAAGAAATCAAAACACAAAAGAACTTGTGAATGAGTTGCGGGAATTACCTACGCAAATACATGTTACACAACATACAAAACAGTCTGATTGCCATTAAATACAGCAAAGCAAAACCAAGTGGCAATCGATCAATCATGCAAAGTAACATTATTAGAATAAATTAGCCAGAATATTTTTAGTGCAATCATTGCCACATACCTTCAATAAAAAAACTAATGAATCCGTACAGTAAAATCACTTGGCTCTGATATTTTTTCAAGCTAAATGCTCATTGCTCGAATTCAGTGGATGCCTCAATGGCTTTGATGGATTAGCATTTCTATATGCATAGTTTGTCTTGCTATATGACCTTGTATGTTGAGATCTCTGAGTCTACCGCTGTTTTTATTGTATTCCCTGCACAGTTTGTGTCATAAAAATTGGAACATTCCATTTCATAGTTTATGCATGCCAGAATATATTTCAATTGAAGTTCAATGGTTGCAAATTGAAAGCCTTCACACAAAATGTTTTTTTGACACACACACTGTACCAAAACGACTTTAAAGTTAGGAAAATGGACGTTTTCCTTTCTAAAATCTTCACCGCAATCATGGTTTGAAAATCCTTCAACATTTTACTAAGAATAAATTATATTTCAGTCGATCTCCAGTCGAATGATCCTGGCTGTTGGTTTCACTCACGCCGTTTACAAAGAATGGCCTTTCAAATTTGTTTAGCTAGTCTTAATGATAATGCTCTTAGCACGGTGTCTTCTTACGAAATTATCAAGAAAAGAGCAGGGCAATAATTAGCCTGCATGGGCAATAATAGAACGAAGCGTATAAACTTAGGTAAATGGGGAAAATATAGGACTATATGGACAATAAAAACGGACTTTAGTCTCAGAAGGTTTCGGCAAAGCCACATTGTGATAAATGCAAATTTTTCAAAAACATCTCTGGCATTCTTACACTCGCAGCTGCAGTTCACTGTCACTGGATGCATGATCAATCTTCGGTGTTTGAAAACCCAAAATCAAGTAAAAAAATTCAGGCCAATTTTGGCAGAAATTATCTCTGCTGAACAGCTTTGTACGAGAAAATAGTTTGAATTCTTTTAATTTGATTCGGCATAAGAGAATCCTTCTTAATAAGGATCTTAAACTAAATTCTAATTCAATCGATACTTTTAAAGTTGCTATAGTTTCTGCTAGGCCATGCTGACCAACCACAGCCTGGAATGCAGTTCACAATGTCGCAAGATTTGATGGTTAATCAACAGTGACTTATCATGCAGTATATATGTTTTAAATTGATCAGTTATAGCAAAAATAAATTAACATTATTCAAAGCAAGAGTCAATCGGACACTATATAGTCTTATTCTTTGGAGGAAGTTTTACCGATGGTTGAATTAAGTTCCACAATAGCGCCTGGGTAATACATCACCAAATTTTGAACGCATTGATCGCACGTCGTTCGTAGTTTTGATTGTTTGACCAACAAATAACAATAGACTTTAGCTACTACAATCATCGCCAAAAGTTTTGGAAACGCAAGCTAATTAATTATAAGCTAAAACTGTCGAGTTGTATATTTTTTCAAGGATTTGTGAAAATAAGAACTTCTCCCCCCCCCCGCCTCAATGTTGACTTTAATAAATGAGACTTTGCGACGCTTATTATGACCAAAACAATCGCAAAGAAACATGGTATTCTTTCTTCTCTTCGTTATTGGAGTTTGTGTCAACATGTTTCCGTATTTCACCGCATCGATACATTATTACAAGTCACATATTATTAAGCATAAGAAACGAACGGGATGGATAGTTAATCACTCTATCGATTGTCATGGGGCTGGTCACTCATGTCTTAAACTTATGTTGATAATAGGTACCTTAATTACCAACTTGAAAGGTTTTGTACAACAATAGTATTAAGGTTTTCTTATTATTTATGCAAGTTTTTTACTACAGGGTGAGTAAAAAAACCCGACACCTTTGAAATTCAAATTATCCGGGAACTTATGGCTGGCATATGTACAACAACAAAACGATTTGATAAAATTGATCTCTTTTATTTACATATATATACTGTCGTTGTCAAAAAGGTTGTCCTGACTCCTGAGCAAGTATATGTATATATCGATCACGTGACATTATTATGCATCAACACGCGTGGGATTGTACAAGCGTGTTAATTGCGAGTTCGAGTATAGCAACTAGCAAGGTGAACGATTAAAAAATGCCAAGACCATATTCGGATGATTTAAGGTGGAGAATGATTTATCAACGACTGTTCTACGAAAGAATCATCGACGAAATTGCAGCACAGCTATTTGTTTGTTCAAAAACCGTCTATCGTACTCTCAGCACCTTTTGGAATACGGGTGATGTGAAGCCTTGCCGTATGGGT